ACTTTTTCTCTCCTGCAACCTATCAGTCCCTCACTTTGACCAATCCATTGCTTCCCTGTGGAGTCTCGGTTGACTTCATCTCCTCTTGATCTTGCCAAGAAAGGCAGTCGCTGAGAGCACTGCCACCCTCGATTGTTGGTCTTGAGATTCTAGGCGCCATCGCCAGCATATCTCAGACACTTCTGAAATCTCTTACCCCTTCGTCAATCATCATCAACTCTGTGATCGAACAAAACTATGGTGGCCGCACAGACTTGAGGGCCAAATACTGTCGACTGCAACTCCAGACCTTGTTAGTTTGGAAGTGGATTTTTTGCCGCCGCCCAACCCCTCCGCTGCCTAGCACAGCCTTCTCATCTACGCCGTCGGACTCGCAGTAGGCTTACTTCGTGGTGCTCGACACGTCGGTGTCATCTTGAGATTTCTAAACTCTCTTGAACGGGGCGAGGGCGCAGCTTGGCTCGCCAAGGCCTACGGGCAGTCTGTCTTTGCAAATTCGCGGTGCTCACCTGGTACGCCTCAGACTCTGCCACTTCTCGTTACCTTGAGTGCACGCAACACCGTCGCCTCCTACACAGCCTTGCACAACACATCTAAATACCAATCTTTGTGTCACCACAAGAGGCCTCTGAGAGGGAGCCCATCATCTGTCTTGCCTAATTTGAGCTCTCAACTACACCTTCACACAACTATCTCGACCCATTTTGAGATCTTTCACACCCGATCACTCATGAGAACATCTCGCATCAGTTTCAGAACACTCTGCACCGGTGCTAATGGCTTCCCTCGCACCTCCACAGTTGCGCGTCGACACCCGCCATCCCCGTGGGGACAATGATCACGACGACGCGATAACACCATCCCCCATCTCGACACACTCAAATCCGTTCCTCACGCCGGCAGTCAGCTCCGCGACAAGTATGCACTCCAGCACGACAACAGTCGTCCCAGAGGACCCGGATACCGCACTCCGGCCCGACCCCGGCACCGAAGGCGACTTTGTTGTCGACAACAACCCGTTTGCATTTAGCCCTGGGCACCTCAACAAACTTCTGAACCCAAAATCTTTACCTGCATTTTTGGCCCTCGGCGGACTCCGTGGCATCGAAAAGGGCCTCCAAACAGACGTCAAGGCCGGTTTATCGCAGGATGAGGCTGCCGCCCGTAGTAGGGTCAGCTTCCAGGAGGCAACCGGCCACAAGGAGCCATCATTCGCCACTGCCAGTGCTCAGCCCACCACCACGCACCAAGCTGACGGCAATGGTTTCACCGACCGTATCCGCGTCTACGGCAGGAACGTCCTTCCCCCGAAGAAGGCTACGCCGCTGTGGAAGCTGATGTGGAACGCTTATAATGACAAAGTAATTATTTTGCTGACCGTCGCTGCCGCGATTTCATTGGCGCTCGGTCTTTACGAAACATTTGGTGCCGAACACGACCCCGACGAAGGCCAACCGGTCGACTGGATTGAGGGCGTGGCCATCATCGTTGCGATTTTGATCGTGACCCTAGTCGGGTCTCTTAATGATTGGCAAAAGGAGCGCGCCTTTGTCAAGCTTAATGCTAAAAAGGAGGATCGCGAGATCAAGGTTATACGATCTGGCAAGTCCTACATGATTAACGTTGCAGAGGTCCTCGTTGGCGATGTCATCCACCTCGAACCCGGCGATCTCGTCCCAGTGGACGGCATCTTCATCAGCGGCCACGACCTGAAGTGCGACGAGTCCTCGGCCACCGGCGAGTCCGACGCGCTCAAGAAGACTGGCGGCGATGCGGTGTTCAACGCGATGCAGTCCGGCAACGCGCCCAAGGACCTGGACCCCTTCATCATCTCAGGCGCCAAGGTTCTCGAGGGTGTCGGCACCTTTGTCTGCACCTCTGTCGGTACCAACTCGAGCTTCGGAAAGATCATGATGTCGGTTCGTACCGAAACCGAGTCTACGCCTTTGCAGAAGAAGCTTGAGGGTCTTGCCTTGGCCATCGCCAAGCTTGGTAGCACCGCTGCTCTCTTCCTCTTCGTCGTCCTTCTGATCCGCTTCCTGGCCGGTCTGCCCAACGACAGCCGTCCCGGTGCTGAGAAGGCATCGTCGTTTATGGATATCCTGATTGTTGCTATCACGATTATCGTCGTGGCTGTTCCGGAGGGTCTTCCACTGGCTGTCACCCTTGCCTTGGCATTCGCGACCACTCGGCTTCTGAAGGAGAACAACCTTGTGCGTGTTCTGCGGGCATGCGAGACAATGGGTAACGCGACCACGATCTGCTCCGACAAGACCGGCACCTTGACGACAAACAAGATGACGGTCGTTGCCGGCACTTTTGGCTCTGCCAGCTTCTCAAAGTCCTCTGATGGAGAGAAGGCTAGCTCCGCAGTCGCGTTCGCTCAGTCCCTCCCTACCGCCACCAAGAAGCTCATCGTCCAGTCCGTCGCGATCAACTCTACCGCCTTCGAGGGCGAGGAGGACGGCCAAGCCACCTTCATCGGCTCAAAGACCGAGACCGCCCTGCTTCAGTTTGCCAAGGACCACCTTGGTATGCAGGCTCTGGCTGAGACCCGCGCCAACGAGGAGGTCGCCCAGATGATGCCGTTCGACTCTAGCAAGAAGTGCATGGGCGCAGTAATCAAGCTGCCCGGCAACGAGGGCTACAGACTGGTTGTCAAGGGTGCTTCTGAGATTCTCTTGGGATACTGCAGCCAGAAGCTCAACGTTTCCGATCTTTCCATCTCAGCCTTGGAGCAGTCTGACCGCCAGTCCCTCGAGGCGACGATCGAGTCTTACGCCAAGCAGTCTCTCCGCACCATCGCTCTGATCTACCAGGACTTCCCCCAATGGCCCCCTCACGGTGTCAACGCCACCTCTGAGGGCCACGTTGATCTCGGCGATGTCCTTCACGACCTTGTTTTCGTCGGTGTTGTTGGTATTCAGGATCCTGTCCGCCCCGGTGTTCCCGAGGCTGTGACTAAGGCGAAGCACGCCGGTGTCGTTGTCCGCATGGTTACTGGTGACAATGCCGTCACTGCGAGGGCTATTGCTACCGAATGTGGCATCTTTACTGAGGGTGGTCTCATCATGGAAGGCCCTGTATTCAGGACCCTGTCCCCCGAGGCTATGGATGAGGCTCTGCCCCGTCTGCAGGTCCTGGCTCGCTCCTCGCCTGAAGACAAGCGCATCCTGGTCACCCGCCTCAAGGCTCTGGGCGAAACCGTCGCTGTGACTGGCGACGGTACCAACGATGCGCCGGCGCTGAAGGCTGCGGACGTGGGCTTCTCGATGGGTATCTCGGGTACTGAGGTTGCTAAGGAGGCCTCGGCTATTGTGCTGATGGACGATAACTTCACTTCCATCGTCACGGCCCTCAAGTGGGGTCGCGCGGTGAACGACGCCGTCCAGAAGTTCCTTCAGGTATGCAACTCTCTGCCTTCACCACCCTGACTTACTAACATGTCCTCCCTAGTTCCAAATCACGGTCAATATCACCGCCGTCCTCCTCGCCTTCATCACAGCCGTCTCCTCCCCCAACATGGAATCCGTCCTCACCGCGGTTCAACTCCTCTGGGTCAACCTCATCATGGACACCTTCGCCGCCCTCGCCCTCGCCACGGACCCTCCCACCGAAAAGATCCTCGACCGCCTCCCGCAGGGCAAGAAGGCGCCCCTCATCACCATCAACATGTGGAAGATGATCATCGGCCAGGCCATCTTCCAGCTCACCGCCACCCTGATCCTGCACTTCGCCGGCAACGCCATCTTCGGCTACGACTCCGCCAACGAGGACCAGCAGCTCGAGCTCGACTCCATGATCTTCAACACCTTCGTGTGGATGCAGATCTTCAACGAGTTCAACAACAGACGCCTCGACAACAGGTTCAACATCTTCGAGGGCGTGCACCGCAACTACTTCTTCATCGTCATCAACTGCATCATGGTCGGCGCCCAGGTCGCGATTATCTACGTCGGCGGCAAGGCCTTCCGCATCACCCCCGGCGGCATCAGCGCCGAGCACTGGGGCGTGTCCGTTGTCATCGCGTTCCTCTCGCTCCCCATGGCCGTCCTCATCCGTCTCTTCCCGGATCCCTGGTTCGAGAAGATCGCTAAGACCGTCGGACGCCCCGTGGTCATTGTCTACCGCGCCCTGGCCAGAGTGTTCTCCCGCATGGGATCCGTCTTCCGTCGCAAGAAGACTGTTGATGCCGAGTCTTTGTCCACCGAGGACAACGGCGTCATCTCTGGCGACGAGTCCAAGGCCATCGCGGCACCCGAGATCATCATCTCCACGCAACCCGAAGACATCCCCAACAACCGCGACGTCGAGAAGGGCCGCTGATCCCGCCTCGCTCTTCCTTCCTATCTACCACTACTCCTGCATGCACCCGTTTTTGCTTTCGGCACGATTCCCCCTTCATGTTACATCTCTTTAGTTACGATACCTATTTTCTTACGTGTGTATACATTTTCCCTTGGTGCGACGATTGAACGACCGGCACTATTATACATATGGGCGGCGGGCGGTTTCTAAACCAAAAACCAACTATTCTTGTTTTTTGGCAGCGGCGTTTTTACAAGTGCGGTTCGGATACGACTCCAGTGTGGATTTTTTTGGGTTACGGCACCTGGACGAAAAACTGTCATTACGGCATTAGAGAGCGACAACATACATCATCTGCTTGCATTTTCAGGATACGGCTTTCATAGATAGGACACGATATGTGTGTCATGTGCGATACGACTTCATTATGAGCGAAATACAATACTTATGAATCTATTTCTATAATGCTTCCTTTCATGAATCGTGATCATACGCTACACCTTATGAAGAGCTGCACGGGATATCGGTAGGCGAGTCCGTAGTCGACACGGTGAGGTTATACACACTCAGACTCTCAGAATGCGGCTCCAACCTCGGCGCCCCCTGCGCATCCTTCAAAATCGTAAAGCTTGCGCTGCCACTATTCCCTCGTCAGCCCTCCTCCCCATCATCACAGTGGAAACTAAAACTTACTACGCCTGCGAACAGTTGCCCCCAACATACGTCGTCTGTATCACAATCTCCGCCACGAACGTCTTGCTCTCCGCCGTCTCGCCCGCCACGCTCGCCCCGCGGATCAGGTGCCACCACGACTTATCCCCCGCCGGCGGCAGCAGGCTCTGCTTGACCCCCAGCATGGCCGCGTACCCGGAGAAGGTGCGCCCTGCGATGATCAGCTGCCCCGTGGCGGGCCAGAAGTCCGTGAAGGTCGTGGTCGCGGCTTTGTCCTCGGAGGCGAGGTAGTACGCCTCGACGAAGGGGTCGAAGGCGGCGTCGACGTTGGCGGCGGGCTTGTAGGGCGCCATGTCGACGGCGGCGACGAGGGGGAGGAAGGGGAGGAGGGTTGAGGGCTTCATTGCGGTAGAGACTGGAGATCAGGTCGTGGGACGTCAAAGGATGATGATTCTCGTGAAGATGACGACATCTCCCGCGGGGTTCAAAAGCGATTTATGAAATCCCATCGTCCGCCTTACGAGGCCAAGCACACCCCTTTCGCAGGGCACACCCGTCCCTATCGATCAATCTTGCTCAGAACCGTCCATCGGCGCCCCCGTCCATCCGGACGGCCCGGGGCAGCAAGGAAGAAATAGGGGTCGCGGCAAGCTCGGCGGTTGACCCCGGGGAAGATGGGCCCTGTAAACCTTCGTCCCATGTCCGACAAGGGCCACCCCAGCCGCGCGTGACAGCGGTTTTTGCGAGGATATATCTGGGGCGCGTTCGTGCGGCCCGCCGAACGGAGAGGAACATGGCCTGGGCTGTTGTTTATTTTACTTTTTTAGGTTATGGGGTCGTGGTATCGCTTTCAGCCGAGAAAAGGGGCGGTCGGCGAGTGGATGAGTTTGTGGGGGATGTTCGCTCTCGGTAGTCGGCGAGGATGAGTTGTGCGCGTCCTTTTATAGATGCTGGGTATGTGAGGCTCGGTGGTCTAGTAGTCAGTCTGAAACTTTACAAGCACGGCGATTGCGGGTTGGTTAGTCGTTGCTTTTGAGGTTTCTTTTTGGATATAAAGATCCCACCGGCTTCAGCTCAACTACCCTCCGCAGTCGTTCAGCCACAACACAACGTTGAATATCGCAATCTCAGCCACGCTCGTTTCCGATCACAGAATCTCTAAAGATGTATCTGAACATTGCTCTCCCCGCCCTCCTCGCCGCGCGCTTCGTCGCGGCGATCGACTTCACCGATTATGACCCGCAGCCCGGCGTCCAGCCCGAGTTCAAGGACTTCCTCAACGCGTGAGTACAACTCAATCTCTCAAACATGTTTAATGCCCTCTAACAAGACGACATAGTCTCGTCACCCCGGCAGAGGACCCCACCGCCACCACAGCCTACACGGACTTCTTCACGGCAGACGGCATGCAGACCACGCTGAGCATCCACTGCGTCGGCGCCGACGCCATCACCAAGTGCAAGCAGCGCTTCCTGCCCACCGACGGCAGCATGTCGCTGACGCACTTCCCCAACACGACCTTTATCGCGGACAACAACGCCACCGCGACGGTGTACGAGGCGCATGGACGCATTGAGAATAACTTCAAGGCGGGGAACTGCTCGCAGATCTAGTAAGTCCACCCAAGAGGACGATTGTGGGGGAGAAGAGGTTTGGCTGACGAGTTTGGTGCAGCTATAAGACGCAGTACACTGTGCTCAAGACGGTCCAGTCTGTCGACGCGGCGCCGAACTTGTCGACGAAGCCTGAGCAGCAGGTGTACTGGTACCATGATTACTTTGTCGACCCGACGGGTGTGCCGTCAGATATCCCTTGCGATAGCCAGAAGGCGTAGAATTAGAGAGAATGAGATTGGAAAGGTATATTGCTATGTAGATCATGTTGAATGACCATTGATGTACGCATTATGTCCATGTCCGTCGGCCAACTGGGGTCCCTATAAGTGTGCTCAGCTTGCCTGTCCAATCCTACCAAATCGAGATCAGGAGTTACTCCTGCCCGTCCTTCATTTGTATATCACACTGTCAGCGGCAAATCTAGCTTTATCCGCCTGATAACTAGCCCGTAGCCATGCGTCGTTGGCGTCGCCGAGCGCCTGTCTCGCGGCATTAAGCCCTTGCTTGGCCAGTCCCACCTCTTTCTCAGGGCCAGCGTCGTCGGCAGCTTTACGGGCCTTTTTGGCAGCCGATGCTGCATCTTCTGCAGCGCTCTTTGCCAGGTCAGCCGCTTCTCGTGAACTACTCACTGACTTCGTCTCTGTAGAGCCATTGGCATTATGAGAAGCCCGCTTGGCATCCGCTGCTGCTCTGCAAGCGCATGCGCTGGAGCGATCAGCCGCTTCCTGGGCCGAATCTGCAGCAACTGTGGCTTCGGACGCCAGGTACCGAGCCCGCATGGCGTCGTTCCGGGTCTGCAGGCAGACTTTGAGCCATTTTGTAGGACTCGCAGAATCCCACACGGCGGACGCCAACTGCACCACCGTCTCCTTGCAGAGACAGTCTTTGGCAGGGCTGGAACTGCAGAGAACCGCTCTAAGCATCCCGCCACCTCGACCAGATAGAAGCGCAACGGAAGGCGGCCGCTCTGCAGCCACCACCATGACAGACAGATGACCCAGATCAACAAGTGTGAAGAGTCTCTGCCCTCTTTTGAGCCGGGCTTTGACTCCATCCAGATCCTCTGCTTGCTCGATCCACGCGGGTCTGCCTTTCTCCAGGGTTCTGGTCTCGCTGTCCACGCCGTCCTCAACCGCGAGAATATGCGACGCGAGCGGGTCGTACTTGAATATATCGGCAGACGATTTGTATCCAAGGATCTTCTCTTCCAACTCTTTCATGGGAATGACACCCTCGATCCCAACCAGGCCAGGGCTGCACTTTTGGACCTTGAAAGTGCTGAACATGCTTCGTGCGGCCGCGGGTATCAACAATGTGCAAGCGCATCCAATGCAAGCAGCGACTGCCACTATTTTGCTCAACATGCGGATTGCAAAGTCTGAAGGACTAAAGTCGTCTGATAGAGAGCCTGTGCTGCTGGAGCTGCGAGAGCTGCTGGAACTGCCAGAATTTACGCCGGCAACAGCGGCCATGGTAATGCTCATACTAATGACGATCAACATGGAGCTCATGGCAGCTTTCCGCAGAAGAGTGACGAGCCCGGTCACGGCCGATGGGTGGTTTTCGACGCGCAAGGCGGGGAGAGAGTCCCATTGTATCTTGACGGCGCGGCAGTTGTCAATGAAGACCGTATGGTCCTCGTCCGCCACGCCCACGACGTCGCACAGGGGCGTGATTTGGTGAACGCGTGCGCCAAAGGCATCCTGTCCGCAAAGACTGGCCCAAATGATGTGGTTGGACGCATCCGATGGAACGGATCCTGGAAGCCTCGGTTGTGGAAGCAAGCTTATCATGCGGTCAATGATTTTGTCGCTGTCGTTCTTGAGAGAGAGGTGGGACAGAGTCTGGAACAGGGTGGGACTGTCCGTGCTGCCCGGCTTTCTCCCGACGCGAAAACGGAGAAGACCCATTGCGGCGTAGCCCATGTCCGAAAGCGAGTTCTGGTTCCCGGTGTTGCGGGAGTTGAGGGCGTCGAAGATGAGTGGGAGAACCTCAAGGGTGCTGAGCACGACTTGGCCAGAAAAGTATTCGGCCAACAACCGTGCCGAGCTGCCGCCCTCATGAGATGCTCGAGCATCGTTTTCGCTCCAGTAACTCGCTGTCATCTCTACCTTGTATAGAGATTCCACCGGTGGTCCGTCTGGAAACTTCTCTCTGTCATAGTCTCGCGGAGAGAAAAGAATTGAGTTGCCGGGAGCCAAGAGTCCCTCAACAAACGTCCACATTCGCTTGCCCCACTCCGTCTTGGACTCCGAGGAGGAAGAATCCCCAGGGTAGATGACGGCCACTTGAGCTGAGCCACGAACGACGTCGCATAGGGTCCAAATTTGGTGGTCGGTAATTGCGATTCCCTCATTCTCAGAGATGGCACCACTCTTCACTTTTTGCTTGATGTGCCGGGTGAAACACCAATCGTCCAGGTAGATTGCCGTAAGTCCTTCTTTCTCTGCGAGTCGTTGGGCGGTGTCGAGGTACTGAAGCTCATCTTGTTTTGTCTTCGATCCAACATGGCTGACGAACAAGTACTTTGGTCGTTTGTTAACCGTGTTCATGTCCGTTGGGGTCCATGTTCCGTCTTCTTCTTTGAGCAGGAGCTTCGATGGATACGTCCGACGTGCTAGCACATCGAGATGGGACAAGCCATCGTCCCCTGAAGGCACGGAATGCCTTCTCCCACCGTCGGGGTCATTGACGTTATACTTTCCATTGAACTCGAGGTATGGGTCGTAAATGTCTTTTGGGTCCCACGCTGCCCAACATAGCGAGTTAGGGACGAAGTTGAAAAAGAGCAGAGGGATCGCAGTCAACAAGCTCCTCAGGGCGGCTAAGATTGGAGCCAAGATAGTTCTTCGGGGATTATCCAGTGGTACCATGGCCCATTGTACGACGGAGCGCGTCGTCATGTCATGGGGCACAAGCGTCTTCCTCATCCAGTCAGGGGCTACTGCGGCATTCTCTGCGTGTCGATCCGTCACCTGAACTGACATTCTCGCGCGTGATCGGGTGACGAGAGGTGTACCTCTCCCGGCCGGGTCATTCTGGACAGTCCTTTGCGGATTCAAATTCTCGTCATTGGCCATGGTGGTAAAGCTCGGACTGCTCTCGCTGGCAACACGGGATGGTTGAGGATTCGTGGTCTTCTCCCCGTTCTCGGCGGGCTGAGACTGAGCGTTGTGATCATTCCGATCTGGCTCTTGAACGAGCGTCTCATCGCTCGCCATTGAAACTTGGCAATTATGAGCGTCCTGGGGTGAAGATGGTGATGCGAGCAAAAATGAACAAACACGCTAGATCAGCCGAAAGGTTCCGATATCTAATTGTATGGTGATATAAGTCAGTTGGCAGGTGAGCTAGATGCGTCTTGCACAATATGTATGTGATGCAGACTTCTTATATCTTCGAAGTTGCTTGTTGCCTCCAGGGCAAAATCATCGAATTACTCGCGTGGGAAAAGGAGGCTATGGTGTTCGAAATGGAAATAGACATTTGCACGCCCAGAGATATCCAGCTCATGACAGGTATACTTCATCTATGTAACTATTTCCAGCATGAGGTGTCTTGAAGCGATATTCGCTCCTCAAGTTGTTTCTGATTTACAAAGGAATGCAATATGACGGAGGGATGTAGGGCGGATAATTGCAGCACACAATTTCTGCCTGGAAATCTCCAGGTCAGCACCCAAACCTCACCAATGGTATCGCAACCCCACCCACCATGAGCAAAAGCACAATGCATACAATGTTTTAGAGTCGAAAACGATTGGCAGCCCTACTACGCCCAGAGATGCGTGGGGGCCAATCTATGCAGGGAGGATCGCACCGTAAAGCTAAGGCATATGATTCGTTGGCATCGCCCCCAACGCTCGGGATCCTTCGCCTCGACTCGGGACCGAGAGCTTCGCGGCGTTGGAATGGACGTGGTTCTAGACCCACGAGAGATTCAGATCCGTGGATAAAAAGCTGTCTTGGCAAGCTGTAAGTGTAGAAGGATCTGCTCCTGCGCCACCTTCTACCCCGTCGACAGTTGAGTCGCTGTGGCGTTTGCGACGCCGCAGACATGAATGCTCTGGTGGCAGGGCATTCACAGCGAAGCAGCTAGGGGGTTCAAATCAGAGGCTGAGTGGTTGCTATACTAGTTTCCAAGTGATGACGTATCTTGGCATCAAACCTCCAGGCAGACTTGTTCACAGAGACGTGTGGCGCCAAGGTGGCTGGCCCAATCCACCACCCTGCCTTGTAAAGATATCTGCTTCCCAGCGAATCTGTCTTCACCTTTCAGCCACTATACAACTCTCCATAGAAGTATGTTGCTTGTTGGCTAGCCGAAAGCCACCGTCACTCGATACCTACGCAACATCCAGCTAGGGGTGCCGCGAAACCGTTTCCTGCCCTGATCGCCATGCGACCTGTTGCTAACAACAAACAAGATGGTGTTATTGAGCACAATTCCTGGCCGACGTCGAATGACTGGGAACATTACAAACAAACTATAATCAATCTTTACAAGAACAGCCAGATGAAAGTTTTAATTGCAGAGATGAAAGCCAGGCACAACTTCAGAGCCACGTACGTGCCAACTTGCACCCAAAAAGGAATCCATCTATGCAACGGCCCTAGCTAATAATAAAGACTCTTACAGGAAACGGATGTACGAAACTCGTTTGTGGAAGTGGGGCGTCGTAAAGAATATGAAAAAGGTCGACAAAATGAAAGTCATCAAATCGATTCAGAAGAGCTCGGCAAGCGTTGGCGAGATCAGTGCGGGGGATTGGTCGAAAGTTGTGAGATGCCACAAAACTGAAATGAAAGAGTACGAAGCCATATTTCGAGAAAACATGGCGTCATTTAGTTCAACGGAACAACCCCGAGAAACCACTCAAGCCACGACTGCTTTTTCGGATAAAACCCCGCCGAGCTCCAGCCTGCAGCTTCATATTCCAACAGCCATCAATCTTCAGAGTCAAGCTTCGAGCGCAATTATTCAGAGCGTTCGGCAGTGTTGCAGTGAGCAGCTGAAGAGCAGGTCGGTGCTTGACGTATTTGAGCCTTGGACAGCCAACATTCCCGAACATCCTAGACGCTATTGGGAAGACATCAAGCACGCCATCTACATCATCAAGTCGAAATCCACAAGCGTTTGCGGTATTAAGTTATGGGAGAGCGCAGACGAGATGGTGCTCCACGGGATCTCATACGACTCATTCGACTTTGTCTGGGAACTGTTCGCTGTGTTGTCTCCTGCCAACACGACAGCATGCCCGGAACTTCGCCAAGCGTCTTTGAGATACCTGAGGGCTCTAACAGCCACGAAATTACATCCTACCCACCCGGTTACAAAGATGTGCGGCTTACTGTTACAAAACAGCCATGATTTCCAACTCTGCGAGATCGGGCTACTCGAGGCGTGGAACATATTCGGTTCACGCTTGGGATACGAACACCAGACAGCATGCCGTCTTCAAAGAATGCTGGTCAGCACAGCTAGGCGACTTGGTAATCTAACGGAGGCAGAGCGCCGGGCTAGAGCACTCTACAACCATGCATGTACATCGCGTATGGATTCATATCTGTCGCGATCGTGCGCCCGAAGCCTCTCGCACGTTCTAATCAGCTCATATCAATACGACGAGGCCAGAGAAGTCTGCAAGTCAATAGTGGACTCTTTGCAGTCTCCGGCGGGTTCAGCCATGGACGATGAGCGCGCTATTCAGGCCATGGAGGATTTGGCCGATATTGAACTGAGGCTTGGCAACATCGGTCAAAGTTTATGGTATCTTCAGCGAGCAAACGATGCTGGACGCAGGCTATGGCCAGGCTCCGTCGCATCGGCTCAAATGGAGGAGAAACTGGGATGGGACATATACGCACCCAAGATACCGGTTGTCTGTTGACATGGAACGGAAGACGGGCTTGAAAGTTATGTCATCAAGCTCGGCAGGGACCATGGCGACGACTAGGAGGATCGGGGTGATAGGGAAATCCAGGCAGTCAACGTAGTGGTAGAGGAAATCTGTTTCGTTGACTGGAGCGGACTTTTCGGTGACAGTCAGTAATAAATGTATGGTGATCCTAGTTTATTGCAGGGCTGGTGGCTTCACCGCAAACTGATGAAAGCTGGAGTGGGTCGTGTTTGCTATGATTTCCAACGCTTCGCATCCATGCGATGCGAGCTAGTCTTTTACCCGTTCAACGGGTCGTTGCACGTCAAATACGGCAATGTTGGCGCGATCGACTATGAAATCAGGCGCACAACGCCAGAAGTCTTGGTATACCGCTACTGATTCAACAGCCAACATTGCTGATAGTAGCCAACTTGTTTGCGCAAGCCACCAACCCCCGTCATACCCAACAGTTGAGAAGCAAACATCATGCGCACTAGTTTCTTCATCGTTTCTAAAGCCTTTCAAACATTGGGATCGAGCACCAATGGTGACGCTGCCCATGTCAAGAGGCCCGTTGTGTCACTGATTGAGGCTAGTCATTGGCTTTCGAACATGGTGATTGGCTCCATCAGCGGGTGTCGACATGAAGGATGCGAACTCAGGGCATTTACCAGCAACGTTGCCATATAATTCCGGGTAACCGGGCGAATAATGACGCCCGAGTTTTGAGATAACGCCCTATTCGCCTGCTTGTGGCCACCGAGACTTTTGAGAGAATCAACGAGCCTTGCAGAATTCGTGTTCATGCATACAAACCTTGACGAACACGGCTAGTCCAAGGTATAAAGGCTACGTTCCCGAATTCAGAGATCGCTCTTGCCCAGGTTAGGTCTGAACAAAACAACTTTCTCTCCTTTCCTTCTCAAACGGTCTTGTAAAAGAAATCCGTTCACAAAATGCTCATTCTTGAGGCATGTGCAAATGATCAGACTAACCGGCCGCCTCGGTCGCATATGGTCGGACGTCCTCACCCTCATGAACTCAGCGTGACGATGCTTGTCAACTACTACTTCCTGCAAAATTGGCCCTTTCCCGACGAGCGTTCCCGACTCAAGTTTGTAGCTGAAGGCTTGCCGACATGGCACTGCTGCCAGTATCCTACCTCTCTGAATGACCGAGTGGTCGTCGCGTCTCGATTTACGGTGATGCTATTTCTGGTTGACGGTAAGCCTGCGTAACGCTCGAGAGGGAACTATCACAGCACTGAAGCATTGAAGCATCATTCTGATGACAACATCTAGACCTGCTCGAGCATATGTCGCTGCAAGACAGCTCATCATATAACGAGCGACTCATTTCCATCGTTAAAGGAGAAACCTTGCCTGCAGAGGACTCTCCCATCGAGAAGATTGTTCTCGAAATTTGGCAACAGATGAGGGCCATTGACAAGCCCCTCTCAGATGATGTTGAAGTGCCCACCTTTGAATTTTGGCGCTCCCAGAATGCCGAAGCTCGGCTAGCGAAGAAGAGCATTGCAGAGTACCTGGAGTATCGAGAGCTTGACGTTGCTTCGCAGTGAGTCTTATTGCATGGTACCTTGCGATCATTAATACATGGCTAATGATCCCTAAAGGCTCCTTCTGGCTTTGCAACGCTTCTCACAGGGCATCACCGTCACGAAGGAAGAACTAGCCTCCGTGTCTGAAATCGAGCTAAACTACACGCATCACATCTCTGTCATCAACGACATTTTGAGTTGGGACAAGGAATACCGTGCGTCCAAAGACATCAACGCCGAAGGATCCATCGTGTCCAACATTGTGCAGGTTTTAGCCAACGAAACAGGCTTGGACTACGATGGGTCGAAACGAGTTTTGTGGACCATGTGTCGTGAATGGGAACGAAACCATGCGGATCTTGTTGCCAAGAGGCTGGAAGAAGGATGTTCTGATTCTTTGAAGGAGTACCTGGAGGGAATCGAGTTGCAGATGTGTGGTAACGAGCTGTGGAGTCGGACTACCTTCCGGTACAATGCCCCCGGCTTGAATTAGGCTCGAAGAAAGCACAACCTTCATCCGAAGTGGGAGATAACATCGGTTATGCATGCCTTTAAGGTTGCTTCATAGAGCTGTTGTGGGATCAAGAGGACCATCGGAAAAGACGAATCCACGAACCAGGGACGCAGATGCAAGTCTAGTCAGGTACACTCAATTTATGCCGCTCATTCGAAAGCCCCCTTTGGTCAGGTCTACTGTGCCTGTCATTTTTCCCTCTTTCCTGAAGCTTATCCGACAACGTCTACTTCTTTAGCTGGATAGTCTACAAGCATTGAGTCTTGCCAAGAAAGCGCCAAGGTTGTACCGCAGGCACATCGGCAGTGAGAGCCGAGATAACTAGGTCGACATGAGCTTATTCTCAACGTCACGAGGCCATTCAGTGCGATGGAGACGAAGCAAAAAGAAAAAACGCGAATGGCTGTTGGGAATAAACGGGCCGCATCGGTGAAAGGAATCAACAGTTGTGGACTTCTACAACAAACCCATTTGTCACAGGCCTGATGGCGTCCGCTCAGTCCCTGATCTTGCTTTCTTCAGGAATGGGTGATTGGAAGTGCATGTCCATGAAATGCATCGCCCAATCGGCTACACTCCTCAAGGACGACATAAAGATCGCCCGCTTATCTTACATTTATTGCTAGCCAAGTTCTACGGACTGAGCTATCCGAGCCCACGACGACGTGGCATTGACAGCCGTTGAGACTGGCATTTGTGACAGATGCTTCGATATACTCACAATGCCGTTTGCCACATGAAACTCAGAAGGTACAACGAGGTTCTTGCCTTGGTCATCTTGTCACTTTTCCCCACGGCGGGAAAAACTTGTCCGTCGGTATCCCGTCCACAGAGACCGTAGCCCAAGAGAATAGGTCATTTTCCGTCGTCAGCTCGACAGTGGAATACCAATTCTACCCAATGAAAGGTTTTTGTTGGACTATGAGTTTCTCATTGTGGTATAGCCACCCTGTACCCCGGATAGTGCCGGTACCTGCACCCCCCAATCGAGGCGAAATGCTGATTTGAGGAAATTTCTCCAACGTCAACCCCGGACCACCCCATCTCTCCATTGAGATCTCTTAACATGACACAGTCATTTCCCAACCAAATAAACAAGGTGGTAACAAAACAAAAGCTTGTTGACAAGCTTCTTTTTAGGTATTTGGTCGACCCGCTCGGCATGACGGCGTTAGGCTGAGTAAACCCTCCCGTTCTAGCAGCTTATCATCCACGGAGCAGGGGTTCCTTCGACCGATGCTGTCAGGCAAGTGGAGGAAACATTTTGAGGGGCTATTCGAGATTTGATGAGCCCGCGCGCTACCATTCGCGGAACGAGAAGGTTCGTCGCTTCCGTCTTGCAATGTTACCCTCTAATTCCATGAGCCTCACCATTCCCCAGAGAGTGGAAATACTTCCAGCCAGTCAACGAAGTCATGTCGCAATCACCAAGGTGTGTAATGCGATGCCGTGATCAGAAGACCCCTGTTATGTAGACGGAAAAGGGCCCGATCGTGAACTGCGAAGATCGTGTATATAAAGGGACGGCTGGTAGCATGAAGCATATTTCACGTCTTTCATAATATTAAGCTCTTCAAAGTGGTTCTAGACCCCCTTGGCATCCTTGACCTCGTCTTCAATCCACCCTTGACACTAAAGCAACCATGAAGTTCACTTCTGCTTTGGCGACGCTATTCGCCAGCGTCGCAGTCGCAACGCCTACTCCCACCGTCGACAATGTCGCCGACAAGCCCCACCTTGTCAAGCGAGCATCAATCTCCGACAAGGCGACTCTAGGCTATGCCACTCTTAATGGAGGGTGAGTATTACCAGGAATGCAAATTAACTTGGCACTGCTAACAGCTACGAAGGACTTCCGGTGGTGCTGGAGGAACGGTCACCACTGTATCATCTCTCGCCGAGTTCACCGCCGCTGTGAACGAGAAAGACACGGCTGCCAAGATTGTCGTTGTCAAGGGCGTCATCAAGGGTACCGCCAACGTCCGCATCGGTAGCAACAAGTCTGTCATTGGCCTCCCTGGAGCTGGTAAGCCATATCAAGAGCTATTATTAAACATAGTTGCTGATAAGTTCAGGTTTTGATGGCATCGGGCTGCACGCTCGTCGTCAGAGCAACATCATTGTACGCAACATCAAGTCAACCAACGTCCTTGCCTCGACTGGCGACGGTCTCAAGATTGAGGTGAGCCAATTGAGCCTGTGTTGGTGGTAACACACGGACTAATTCCTGGTCAACACATAGCAAAGCACAAACGTCTGGGTTGATCACTGCGAGTTCTCCAGTGCTCTGGTCTCTGACAAGGACTACTATGACGGCCTCGTGGATGCTTCTCACGCCGCTGATTACATGACCATTTCCTAGTAAGTTGACATTCATCCAAAAGAGAGGAAGTAGACTAACGTTCTCAAGCACCTACTTCCACGACCACTGGAAGACTTCTCTGGTTGGCCACAGCGAGAACAACGGAGACGAGGACAAGGGTCATCTCCGCATCACCTACGCCCACAACTACTGGGCCAACTTCGGCTCCCGTGGCCCGTCTCTGCGCTTCGGCACTGGTCACATCTACAACTCCTACTATCTCAAGTATGCCTCCACTCCTCCTCAGTGCATCTTAGAATCAGTACTGACAGCAAGCAGCGGAAACTCTGGCATCAACACCCGTCAAGGCGCGCAGGTCCTCATTCAGAGCAACGTTTTCAAGAACGTCTCGGTTCCCATCACCACTCAAGACTCTGATATTGTCGGCTACGCTGTGGCCATTGACAACGATCTCGGCGGTGCTGCCAACACTGCTCCCGTCGGTACGATGAACGCCAACTCGCCCGGATACTCTTACAGCCTTCTCGGCTCTGCCAATGTCGTTGCCACTGTGCCGGGACAGGCCGGCCAGAAGTTGACTTTCTAAAGGGAGATGATGACTCCATACTTACCCGAGGCTGTGTCAGAGATAGCAAGAGGGAGACTGTGCATAGGGGATTTGCTATGAAATATTCATGGCTACGTGAACGCTGCGCATAAACTTCGTATATAGCTTACATGTACATATTTTATCAACTTATCATTTAAACCCTGTACACAATCCGCCTTTCCGACGCTTCACGGGCCGGTCAATTGACACTCCGTTTCAGTTCTGAGCCACATAGGCGTCCATCACTTCATAACCAAGTGATTCTGGCAAGACACTTATGAGAATTAATTGCAGCATTCATGGTTATTTGATCTTATGATATCATAATTATTCCAGCGATGCTTCACGGCATCGCGACAAGTGCCAAGATTCTCTGCCAAAGGTATGTACAGGTGTTCGAAGGGTATCTTCGCGCGTGCTTCCATGTGTATCATCCTCAGCTGTATATCTGTCTATCCATGCCAGTATTCATGTTTCCCATCAAGCAGAAGGAGACCATTTGCTCACTCCGAAGAGCCCCCAGGGCTGCAAAGCAACTAGAATCGGACTATGCCAATGTCGCTCAAGGCATCCGCCGGGTGGCGAGCGCCGTCAATCGCGTAAATAAAAACTGCTTGACAATCATCGCGCTTCGTGTCTGCCGCAGCCAAGTTGTGATGCTGAATTACGCATCTCGGCGCGGCGAATGTTTTGTGGCGTCGTCTATGTCGGACGTATCAATCGAAACTTTTGAGTCGAGAAAACCGCGACCGCTACTTCACTTCAACTTTAGTTCCTCTTGGTTTGCGGGGGGCTGAAGAGCTTGTTGCGGAGGGAACTGTAGCGGCTGTTCGATCGGCTTTTGCTCGCTCTGCTTCTGCTGGAACTTCTGTAGGTTCTCGTGCTCCTCGACCTTCTGCTTTTGTTCATCAGGAGAGAGAGCGTTGAAGGCGGCAATGTCTTGATCCCACTTCATGACGCACTCGATGTTCCAGTTGCAGCGTTCGACCTCGCCGAAGATGGGATGCCTGAAGCGTGGGTGGCGGCTGGGCCAGTTCGATGCGTGGTAATGATGCTTGACAAGCGCACCTCTGGAGTTGTGGTTGCCAGAGTCGGAGTGGCCCTGGCCGGCAGCGAAGGATTCAACGTCGCGGACCAGGATGCCACTGACCACCTTGGACTCGTCAATGTCGTGGAAGGTGTCCCATGTAATGGGTCCTTGGCGAGATCTCGAAGACATGACTTCCAGAACTGCTTTGGTGAAAGCAGAAGGGCCGGTACCACTGATGACCTCGTCAAAGTCGAGTTGGATCTCGGAGATAGAGACTCCTTGGGTCTTGGCGACGTCGGTGAGCCATGCCATGATGTTCTCAACCAGCTTCAGCATGACTGGATGACGAGGGCGAGACATGAAAGTCCATTGGCAGAACGACATCGACTTCTTGCCGAGAATTGGGTGGTCCTTGAAATGAGGTTGATCAATCTCAACACCGATGACTAGGTCAAGATCCTCCTCCCTGTATCTCTCCGGAATCCATCTGCTGACAGGACGGAGATCCTCGACGTCAATGTCGGCGTAGACGCCGCCCTCCGCGTACATGATCATGTACCGCAGTAAGTCCGCCTTGATGATAGTTGCGTTGACATGACGGTACATTTCGACAATGTCTGGGCGATCGAGGCCTTCAGGGCCGTAGTGCTCCTCAACATACTCCATGTCGTTAGTGTCGGTGAGGACTTCATAACGGAAGCCGGGGTTCTTGTCCGTCCATGTTCTGGCTGTAAGAATCTGCTCGCCCTCGAAGGAGAACGGCGCAACTTTCCAACTTTGCCAAATCTTCTTGGGGAAGCCTCGTGTTGACCTTGTGCCGCTGCGCTTCGACAGGTGGACCGGCTTGGGCACTGAACCGATCATGTCGACGTTGAGAATCAGGAGGATAAGGCAAACGCAAGCGATGTACAAGGGAATGCATCGCCGCAACTGAGTTGGAACCCTATTCCGGAAGATGTTTGCCTTGGAGCCTGTTGGGCTCAATGGACTCAATGGACTCATGATGGGCGACGACATGTTGACTGCAGTCGTCCAAAGCTCGAAGTCTGGTGGAGGTGTTCAACCAAAGAAGCTTTAAGACCAAGCTTTTGGCGAAGATGCGACGAGCATAAGAGAAGAACAAGGAACAGCAGGATGCATGTCGAAATTTGAGGAGCTCCCAACATGCAGGCACACGACCATAGGTATTCCTAGTGGCCGAGGCGGGGATTGCCCTACTCTCTTCCGACCACCCCCAATCCCCCACTCGCCTATCAATGGCGCATCATTATCACAGGCCGGGATACAAGGGCCAAGAAGTGGGAGGAAGGGCCGAGGTCGCCTGGCTGAAGTCGCATCGTGTTCATCCTTACTATCCAACGAGTGACAATTCGCCATCCTGTGTGACGCCACCGCCGCCGCTGCAGTTGTCTAATTAAGTTGGCCGTTGCTTCTTTTTGTCTGTCTTCACAATACGAGAAACACTAGAGAGGTGTGCTCAACGGTGCTCGCTCTCATTCGCCTTGGCAAAAGAACCCCGAACAGCCACCACCTCTAGCAGCGGAGAGTAAAAAGAACGGTGGATCGAAGCCATCTAGATTGCGGGGAGGAAATGAGGGCCACTCGTTTGTGGCCACCCGCATTTGGCGCCATAATAGCGCCGGGACGTTGAGCTTGTTCGAGCGTCTATTGGGTCGATCCTTGACCACCGCCGCATGCCGGCACCAACGGCTACGATAGTCAGGGGAGCAAGGCGCGGTGAAGCTTCCCAATCAGGAGGGAGGGCAGCAAATTTCTCACAGCTCAGAGGATTCAAACCGGCCGAGTCCTTGAGTCGGGCGAGGTCATTCACATGTCCGGATCACACTACCCAGCTGAGCCGAGTAATGCTACGTTGCCCACGATGGCCCTGCCAGGGACGCCCGGTCTAGTCGCAACCGACGAATGGCATCTACGTCAGAGTGAGGGAAATCTGGTGATTTTCATCTTACGCCAGCTAAAATAATCAAATTCGTTGTTGGTCATAGTTTGGCTCTCCGCACTTTTACCCCGGTCTATCCCCCGCATATTGGACCAGGGCCCCCCAGACGCCTGATTGCCCAACCGTTTTAGACTCAACCCGCCACCCCGCATCCTTCACGTTATTGACCTCGGAATCTTCTTCATTGTTCAGCTGGTCTTTGAGTTTTGTTTTGGCTCGTGAAACTCTGGACGAACAACCCGTTGACAACGAACTGATTCATGTGGATTTTATCAGGCCAATTGACACAAGGATCTACGCCAAGCCGGACGATCGCCGTGTAAGTGCAGTTCTGCTTCCACAACTGCCGATGTGCCCGTGCAAGATTCGTGGATACTGAAAAGAGCTGTGCCTTCTTTTCCCAAATCAAGTCTTCCGCCGGACAGGCAAGGGTTGAAGCACTCTTCCTGCACCATCACCCCCTCGGGCGGCAGCACACGACCGTAAACACGCATCGTTGACAACTTGAGGCTGAAACCATCGTCCTCGCATCACTTTGCTGTCAGCATCTGCCACATCAGCCTTTCGTGAAGATGTCTCCGAGAAACGAGGGCATTCTTGACAGCACGGACTGGGACGAAGTCAAACCATCGTGGTGCGACAAGTCCAAATGGCTCTCGGAAGAGTCAGATTGGAAGCCGGCCACACTTATTCGGACAAGACGACCATCGCGGCTCAACCTGTCAAGTCTTGGCACCTTTTTCTGGCCCATCAAAGATACCAAACAGTCAGAAACATTGCGGCCGACCGCATATCTTGACGGGCTTCGAGGCTTCGCTGCCTTCCTGGTTTACATCCATCACAACCAACTGTGGGCTCATGAGCCACACGTTCAGAATCGCATCTTCGAGAATGCCTTCGGTTATGAGAACAAGTTCCACTTCATCGCCTTCCCCGGAATCAGGCACTTCTTCACCGGCGGCCACTTCGCGGTGTCCGTTTTCTTCGTCATTTCGGGCTACGTCCTGTCCGCAAAGCCTCTCAGTCTCATACAAGCTGGAGACCACGCAAAGCTTGCTGAAAATGTTGGCTCAGCCCTCTTCAGAAGATGGCTTCGGCTCTATCTTCCCCTGTTGGCCACGACGTTCATCTTCATGAGCTTTCTCCACATGTTCGACATCTGGGTCGACAACATTGACCGGATGTCAACCTGGAGAGAGGACGTCTGGGCATGGTACTGCGAGGCAAAGAACTTCAGTTTCGTGTTCACGGCTGGCGGTGGCCCTTTCTTCAGTTGGAACCCTCACTTGTGGTCCATTCCGGTCGAGATGAAGGGGTCTGTCATTATTTACACCGCACTTCTCGCGTTTTCCCGCTGCACCAGAAACGCAAGACTATGGTGCGAAGCTGGCCTGGCTTTCTATTTCATGTACATCGCCGACGGGTGGTACGGAGCCATGTTTGTCGCGGGCATGATGCTTTGCGACCTCGACTTGCTGGCAAAGAAGGATGAGCTACCCGCAATCTTCGATAAGCTTAAGGGAGCCAAGACGTTCATCTACTATCACCTGTTCGTCATTTCGATGTACCTCGGAGGAGTACCGTCGTACACCGGCGATGTCAACAGGATGCGCGAAAATCGCGGATGGTACTACCTGTCTCTGTTGAAGCCACAGGCTGTCTTCGACTACAAGTGGTTCTACCTGTTCTGGGCGGCAACCTTGCTAGTCGCCTGCGTCCCTCGTATCTGGTGGCTGCGGCGCTTCTTCGAGACACGATTTTGCCAATATCTCGGCCGCATCTCTTTCGCTCTTTACCTCGTTCACGGACCTGTCCTTGGAACACTGGGCGACCGAATCTACACTGCTGTGGGCTGGCACAAGGACTCCGAGAGGCAACACCTCGCGCAGTTGGTCGACAAATTCCCGCTGCCGATGGCTGGGCCGCTCGGGTTGGAGCCGGCCTTCGTGCTACCACATCTGATCCTTCTCCCGCTCACCTTGTGGTTAGCAGAGATGGTAACGAGGCTGATTGATGAACCAAGCGTCAAGTTTGCGCAGTGGCTGTACAAGAAAACTCTTCCAGCACCAGCACCATCAACCAAGGCTTGATCGAACGGTGCGGATTCCGGCGTTATGGCACATGTTTTACTAGCTAGTTGATCGGAGAGGCCGAGGCAACAACGGACACCGGCAGTTAGGAAATAGCTAGTGATCAGTGTACACCAATTAATTCACTTGCCCGCTATTATTGGACTTCATCGTCTCGAAACTAAAAGTCGCAAGGGCGCAGCCGCTCCTAGCTTGGTACAGCATAACGTCATTGGATGATTGGATTGGTCGCACTCCAAACCATCGAGTGAATCCCGCCTTCTAGTCGAACTCTAAGACGTCCAATGTGCAGGCACAGCGTGCTCGCCACGCGGGCCGATGGGCTGAACAAGCGCTGACGCCTCCGAGACCGCTTCGCAGTAAAAGTCTCGCCTCGATGATTTTTTCTGATGATGGGCTGAACATCCCGCCAACCCAAAGTTCTTTGACAGGCAGACAGCTCTTCTGCTTGAGCTGCACACCTTAATTTCCCGCATGTGCAGCCTTCCATCGACGTGCAGCCGTATCACACCCAATGACGCTGCAAGGACGGATGGATTCCTATTTTGGGTAATGGTGTGGGATGTTCGTGAGGAGGACTGATTGCGACTTGACCAGGGGCGTCTTGCTGTTCACCGAGGCTCTCACATGCTCACATGCTTGAAGCAGCGAGCTGCTTGCTGGACTTGAGCGAATCACCGCTTCAATTCGGGACGCTTATCTCAGGAACACCTCCATCAGCATACAGAGTTTCCGCTCGTCCAGTTCGCCATGTCACCTGACCCTCCCGTGCTAGCAAAGTGGGTGGTTGGGGGTGGACCAACCGGGGATACAAGCTCTCGAGTGAGGGGAAACCCCAACGTCCAAGGTCGTATTCATTTTTTGCTTGCCCACCGATCTACATCACGCGGCACACCTCTCTCCGAGAGCTTCCCCGTCCTTTTCCCACTAGCTTAATCACAAAGTCCATGTATCCCCGTCCCCCACATTCCTTGGAGCTCTTGTTCTGTGATGCAATCATGAACCGCGGGGAAGAAACTGGGACCCAACAAACATTGTGGAGAGACACAGCATCACTTGTGCCGTAAACCCGGGAACCTTCTTCTCCGTACGTACCACGCAGTCAAGCCCGAGTCAAAGAACTAGAATCGGCAACAGGAAGCTATTCGATTGCAATTGACGCGCTGCAACCCGAGCACCCCGAATGCTGCAAGTCACAGCCAAATGAGCATCCGACCCTCGGCGTGAGCGGACAGCCCCTCGCGATGCTAGCTCGCGACTTCAAGCGTGTCGTCCTCATTGTTGGGCCTTTCCTCTTCCTTGTCTACATTGGCATTCGATGTCTCGACTTTAGGGACTCTTCATCAGGTTTTAACACCTGGTTCGATCACATCTTTGCGCCGAACTGGAGGCAAGCCGATGAGCTCAAACCTCACTCCCGGCCGGCCCCATCGGCTGCCGCACCTCCACCTGCCCCGGAAGACACAGAGCCCCCTATCGCGGTCCCTCCAACGGTCCTACCACCGACGCCACCTTCGGATTCTATTCCAATTGCCACGGAGCGGACACATCATGAGGTCTTCTCAATATCTACCTTCGACAAGAGGTTCTTCCCCATACACTTCGGCGACGAAGATGCCATGAATCCCAACATCTTGCCCCATCCTACTCTCGATAACACATACATCATTGTTGCGCAGAGGCGCAAGACGCACGATGACAAGACAGCAGAACATTTTGAGCTTGTCTGCAATGCTGTCTTCACCATGGAAGGCCTCTCCTGCGTGGAGGCACCAACGACGCTTCCAATCGCTGCCACCAAGAGTGGCGATGACAAATGTCCCCCCAAACTGGCCTACATCGCCATGAACATTGGGCCTCACGATGCCCGTGTCTTCCACGGTCCGAAGGCACCATTCATTACCTTTGGCTCCAACTCGCTCTACTGTTGCTTCGGACAATTCATGCAAGATTTCCGGACGCTGGGCAACTGGGGCTTCCAGATGTCACTGGATCAGGGCTTCAGCACTGGCACTGAGCTACAGCGCCCACCGCCTTGGGGGACCATGGAAAAGAATTGGTTCCCATTCTGGGATGAGGATGGTGCCGTGTACGTGCACCACGATGTGGCGCCAAAGAGAGTGTTCTCGAAAGTCAACCTCGACGGCTCTGTGGGGCCGGACCTGGCGCTTCTAGCCCCCGGAGATGAGGCATGTTTGGAGAGATACATGCCGAAGCTGCCGCCGGACTTGGAGTCCATACATCAGGCGACCAACTCCCTGAGCATCACGTTCTGCAAACGGATGGACGTGAACTGCAAGCCTACCAGCGACAACACATTCATCTTCACGATCTTTCAGCACAAGACTTTCTATCACTTTCACAGCGAGTACGAACCGTACATCATGGTCTTCCAGCAAAAAGCACCGTTCGAAGTCTTTGCTGTCTCGAAGAAACCCATATGGATTCACGGTCGGGAGAAGAAGGACACTGGGGCGTCTGACATGTTTTATGTAACGTCGATAAGCTGGAAGACGAAGGGACAAAGGTATCATGGATACATGGACGACACTCTTTTCCTGGCCTTCGGTATCGAAGACAAGATGGCTGGTGGTATTGACGTTACCGCCGAGGATTTAATATCAGAGCTTGGGACATGTCTGGAGACCTGATATCCCCATGGTAAGCGTGTTGGACGGAGTACGGATACCAATTTCAGCGTAGACAAATGATTACTGCTTATCATAAAGAAGCATCATAATTCCCCTTGAACTTATTTGTGCTTGTAAACGTGTTTTTGCGTGCCTCTTCAGTGGATGTCTGTAGTTTCAAAGCCGTATGCATGTCTTCCCTCTGGCTAGAGCTTAATAGAGACGATCCCGAGCACACTAGATATAAGGTGATCCAATTGTATGGAAATAACGTTCAGTGTTCCATCACTGAGCTTAAATGTGCACCCGTAACCAATACAAGTCACCGTTCGTCCGGATTCGAGACTTCTCGTGGCGGTGTTGTTCTTCTGAGACATTGCCAAAGGCGGAAAAGCCCATATGTTGTCTCAGTCCCTGAAAGAAAGCATTTTGCTGGGTCGTGATACCGACCTTATGGTACTGGACAACTGACAGGCATCATGACAGACAGAATACGCGAATGATTAGAGACAATAAAACATGCTTGATGGACCTATTCACCGCAATGTTTGCTCCATAGACTTTTTTTCCGACGTGAAACTCTAGTTACAGAGATATCTACAACATCAGTGACATCAACATTCCAATGAGCCACGGTGAACCAGCCACTCTCTACAACGTACCCGCCCCCTCCACCCATTCAGAATGAAGAACTGCCGAACTGCATCCGGACAACCAAGACCATATGGCCGCATCGGGCATCCGGGTTCTCGAATCCAACGTAGATCGGGCCATCGGGAACAACGCAAGGATAAGCCACACGAACGTCACCGACCGCCGCTAGGGGCCTGGTTCCGCCGGAAGCGGTCTTCTACGCCAAGCAATTCCAATTACGGGCGGAGAACCAGCTCCGTGGAGGCGCCTCGAAAGCCAACAAAGTCGGCCGCATGTCTCTGCCTTGTTCACGAGGAATTTCCCCAGACAATTGTTTGAATTCGTCCTTTCGCCGAGCGAGCCGAGCGAAGACGTGCTGAGACGACGCCTCCATAAAACCCTTTCGTAGTCGAAAACCCTTTTGCTGTCACCTCATGCATTACTATCCTCCAGGCGTCAGGATGATCAAACCGGATCATTCAATCACCTTCGCGAATCTCGCGTCGGTAAACTTTACCCTACTCGAACATACATACCCGACCGCGCCAGATGTAAAGATGAGACAAGATATCACCAGCAATACGCTCGAGATGAGAGACGGCGAACAAATCATGTCATGGAACAAGGGGTGCTATTTCGGCAAGAGTGGACAAGATGATGTGGCACTCTGTTGGCAGGATATGGAGGCATTGCAGTCATTCTGCGTCGGCATCGAGTCGCCTGAAAGGGGTTTCTTCAAACCCATCCAGTCACACTACAAGACGAAATACAACGACGGCACCACGAATTCGGCTTGGATGTTCCCATCAGATGATCCCGCTGTTGGCTACACATATCCCAGTACTCTGAATTACCACATCACGGTATCAAGTATAGCGTTAAAGGATCAGCTGCACTTGAATGTCACGATCGTGGACAAATCAGCGGCAGCAAGGGCCGACGAAAAGAAATGAAAGGGTAAGTCATAGGTCTTGAGCTTGGTGGGTTTGAACACTGGACTGACCCTGCCTTCAACAGGGAACCGGATGATATAGTCACAAAGACGGCCGGAAACTCATTCGTGAAGTTGATGTAACAGATCATACTGGTGTATTTTGTATTTGAAGGAGGGATCTTCAAAGGGGCGTCATATGAAAAGCTGTTTTAGGGGATCTTCCGATCTTATGCTATTTTATAAGCGACACTTGTAAAGCACGTCTTTCTCAAATCTTCAGGGTCGAAATGATTCATCAGCCTTTAAATGGCCGTTTACATCTGTTGATCACCATCAACATTATTCCCGTCACTTGTGTATCTCACCCATTAGCACGCACTTTCCTAGGATTTGATGATTCCTGTATCACATTCGAAGCAATAGAATAGGTTGCTTGAATGTTGAAGGCAACAATGATTGATCCATCAGACGATTTGGTATATGATTCAGCACTATGAACTTCTATCCCTTGTCAAATCAGAGTGTTATGATGAGGTATTGAATGTCAAACGAACTTTAGCTTACTATAATGATGGCCCAGTGCTACTGGAGTTTCGTAACACACGTCTCTCAACGACCCTCTAACCGAGACCATCGCGAAGAAATTCTCAATAACGCGGGCCATAGCAACATAGTAGAAGGACGTCGAATCTGTAGAGAATAGACTGAGTAAGGCAGTTGTACGGCCAACTCTTTTTGGTCACACTAGTTATTGTTGTGGTCTTGAGTTTGAGGTTGAGGTTCTTTGGCGTATTTTCAGCATTTAAACCGAAGAACAGCCCCGGCCACAGATGATTGGAATACCCTTTCTAATCTTCAGTGAGTGATGGAGTTGATTTGACGGAGCCAGCATGCCTTGGTTGAAGACGGCAGAATTATACATCAACGAAGGCATATATGAATCCAGTGCCCAATCAAAGGGCTTGCCACCCTCAGCAAATACAATGAAAGTGGCATTAGTACTTGGAAAAACGTTTTGAGGGGGTTTTCGTAGACAATCCAGCTTATAGACATGACATACACTGTTAATCTGAATGTGTTACCTCCATGCTAAAACGTGATCATTCGGCACCGAAACAACCGGGGATCCTAACGTCTCTCATCGGCCTCAAATCCACCATTCCACATGCTGAAGATTTGAATGTTGCTGAACCCTTGAACCCTTGCTTATGCAGGGATTGTGGACCTCCGAACGGGGCGTGGTACGGTTAGCCCTAACGAAGGCGTCCAACCGGGGCCTCTAATTCACGAGATCCACAGACTGCACCAAGTGCTCGCATCATGAACCCGCCGGCGACAGAACCCTTCAACAATCCCAGATGGTTTCGTGGTGTAGTTGGTTATCACGTCAGTCTAACATTCTGGATCGTCACCTCGACGGCTCCCAGTGTTCCACTGAAGGTCTCCGGTTCAAGTCCGGGCGAAATCAACCATTGGGCGAATGGTTTAGTGGTATAATACTCGCTTAGCATGTGAGTGGTCCAGGGTTCGATTCCCTGTTCGTCCAATTTTTGCTTCTGTGGTTTGTGTGAAGTGTTTTGGCTCGTTGGTGAAATCGTGGTGAATTTTGTGGAAGTTCCGGGTCTCTGGCTGACACCCAGGAGGCGAGTGGAAAGTTTTATCCCAATTATATACAAATTATTAGCACTGCTTGCGTTGTCTATCCTTGCCCTTTCCTAACAGTGTTTGCAGAGGGTATGTGGGTGAACGTTGTCACTCCGTCTTGTCCGGCTTCCGCCCAACCATCAGATACATTGGCGAAAAGATCTTCCCTCTCCCGCCAAAAACCAACGCATCAGCTGCGCGGATCAAACTGTCTGACGTCTTCGTCATACCAGGCGGCGCGAATCTCAACGTTTCCATAACACTCAAGAACCCATGCGTGGCCATCCTCCCCAATCCCGTCATGCGGAACGTATACAGCAAGTCTCCCATCGTCTGCGCGTGCCGCCAGCTTCCGGCGTCGAGGGGCCAGTACCACGGGCTTGGGTCCGGTCTATCTGCCATATCCTCGTTCTCAAGAATCTCGAAGCCAGCGGCTTCGAAGGCGCGCAGGGCCTCAGACGCCTTAACCATGTTGGCGATGCCGTTGCCCTGCTCGATCTCGATGCGCGTCTTGCGATGGGAGAGATTATCATTATCGTAGGCTTCGGTCATAACCCATTCGTAGACGCCGAAAACGCCCCCGGGCTTGAGGACGCGGTGGATCTCTGAGTAGACGGCTTGGAGGGATGGGGCGTGGACCGTGGCTTCGATGGCATAGACGGCGTCGAATGTGTTGTCTTCGAATGGGATATTCTAGGTCATTGGCGTCAGGGAAAGCTTTGCGGAAGAATTCCTTGACGCAGGGTGGCTTTACCATGAAGTCGGCCTGGACGAATTGCACGTTCTTATCCATGAGCTCCTTCTTTGTATACCTCGTGGCCCTCTCCACCTGGTACTCGTTGATGTTAAGTCCAGTGATATACGCCCCCGTGAACTTGGCAATCTCGCGGGCTGGGCCACCCACGCCGCAACCAACATCCAGAACCTTCATCCCCTTCTTGATGTCGATCATATGCGCGAGATAGTGCTCATGCCTGACGGTACCCTGCTTGAAGCTCTCGGCAATAGCAGGTCTGCAGAAGTGAAAGCTTTGGCCAAAGCCATATTCATAGAAGTCGGTAACTAGATTATAATATCTGACAGTTTGATATTCAGAATATGTCAGGATATCGAGTAGAGTTACGGCATCGACTTACTGCCTCGTGAGTGAATCATATTCTGCGGCTCGGGCCTGGAGAGACGCGAGTCAGAGGAAAAGTTCGGCAGGGCGGTTTACTTGTTCAACTTACCTCTCTATCCTCTTTCGTCTCCTTCTGAGCGTTGAGCTTGTTGTCCCAATGCCTGAAGTAGTCTTCTGTGGCAGCCTTCTGAGCTTCGTGGTCCTTTTTCAACATTGCTGACATGCCAACGTTGCCTTTCGACGTTCCCTTGTGAAGGATCTGCTCAAAAGTAGCATCTCTAGCAAGAAGCACTTGGCCCAGTTCTGATCGTTCCACCATCTTAGGGGAGGATGGAGTTGGCGTTGGAAAAAAGGAATGTAGAAAGTCCAAGGAGTCGGCAGAGCAATGAACGCGATTCCGAGGGTTAGTATATCAGATCATGCTCAAGCATCTTGGAGAGATAGTTGTTTTCTTTTATAACTGCTTCGATAGCACCTCACTCTTCTTTCAACAGACAATAGCATCGATGGTTGACAGCCAAGTAGGGGGAACGAATACGTGATAACGATAAGGAAACCAGCCATGAGCGCTGTATCCGAATACGAATGCGCTCTCAAACAGCGGCGCAGCATTGTGACCCTCACCTAGCACAATGTGATTGGCTTATTTCTCAAAAACGGAAGGAAAGTGGATAATGGAAATGATGAAATCCATCGTTGCGACTGCTCTCAGGTCCGGCATCGTAAACGCGAGGCAACCTCACACATCCTTCCAAGGTTTCTCTCATAACCTAGCCCGCGAGATTGCTCAATTGTGCTCGTCGAGCTTTCGGTCATTGACTCTGGACCCGCTTTTCTCGACCTGAAGTGGGAACGGCCTCGGAATTAGGAGTGCGCCCTTGGCCGGCTGAGTGAATCCGAATACGAAGGGAACAATACTCGAGAATACCCATTGAGATTTGTCCATTTCCACGCGATAAACACGATAGTAAAGTTGGAGGCAATTTTATGGCGTTTTCTGCAAAGCCTTCGCAGAGCAAGTAAACACATTCATCTCATGTGCGCAACCTGACTCAACCAAATGTGCCAAAGACCTGCCCCCTGTTCATCCAAGACATCTGAGGGTTTGAGCCTGAGAAGTGTTGGATGAACATGCAGGATAATAAGCAGCACAAGAGAGAATCATCAATAGGTTGATATGTCGTGCAATATGTAGTTGGCAAGTTGATGGGTGATTCGTTGAGCAATTTGAGTGCTTACGTCGTACGAAGCAACGATCTGATCAAGATCACCGATGCACTTGAGGTGTCACGGAGATCACTGCTCCACGAATTACATTTGAGCTCACAAGATCCGACGTGTGATTAAGAACCGGTCTTCGGCTAGGTGGCATAGTCGGTGAGCCCAGGGCTACCATGATCTCCCCGGCGGAAGAAACATCTTGCGATAACAATTGGCGACCAGACTCAACGCCATCAATGACTAAGCATTTCAATTTGACGCACACCAAATCCGAGGGTGTGGCTTGCCTTCCATGCTCGTCGATCAGCCGGTCTAAAGCCGGTTCCCGAGACCGCCTCCACCAGGTGGTCTCCTCCGAAGCGGAGGCGCAGAATCCACGGCGGACGGCACGTGGGTCTCGGAAGTTTTCAGAGAGATTCTGCAGCCAGTTAAGTGTAACACTTCGAGAAGGCCCGGCAGTCGACTCCGTGCCCTTGAAGCATGCCTGTCTCTGAACACCATACAACAACGATACCAACCGCCCATGGCGCGATTCGTCGACAAACATCGTGTCATATGACTTGGAGCCAGGAACAGTTTAAGCGCTGCTTTGCACCAACACGAACGACTGCCCACTTGGCGGCGGCAAACACCAAAGACAGGGCCGGGGCTAGCAAGGAGACGATGAACGGAACCGAAGCTTGGCACCGGCGCGGGGTCGGTTAGCCTGGGCGCGGAGGACCAAGGCCGAGTGCGGGGAAGAGATGCTGCAGCAAACATGAATGACGACGAGGCGGGTGCACATAACCGGTGGGAAAGGGGAGTTCTATCTGGTATCACAAACTTCTGCCTCGCTTCATTCTCGAGCAGGTCTCCCCGATCAGACCTAAATTAAGGGGGGAAAGCCCCGTGGGGAAAGAAAAGCAGTCATGCCCAAGGCAATCCCACGATGATGCCCAGCGCAATAACATCTTATCGGTGCGACCGAGTCGTGTCTAAACAATGATCTACCCCTCGTGACTTGCCGGAGGCTTCTTCAAACTTTCAACGACATGGAACTTCAACAGTCTGGGGCTTGCGTCGGAGGACGGCACTCAAGCTCGCCAGCCCCAACTGCTATTGAACTCTCAACGTCGCGCCTGCCTATCCGTACGGACCAATCGCTTGAATTGTTCGGGCCAAATCTGTTTGTCTCTGCATATTCCTCGATGTAGCTGCGGAGATACTCGATACCTCACGGGGGGCACAGATGTCTTGGGTAAATCGTGATGACAGGCACCTGCATCAACATACGAACTAAGAAAAGAAGCCGGCCCCCAAAAACAAAGTAGGCCGGTCGATCTGTCAGATCTCAACGCCTTGGACGAATAAACAGGTTACAGGAAAGGGGAGGGGAGCCGCCAGGAAAAAACCGCCGGCACCAACCAACAGCTGCTGCAACAGTTCGACCCCAGAGAACCCACAAGCATCGTCCCATCTAAACCAAGCCAACCAGCAGAGCATGCAGGGGGCCCTAGTTTCAGCGACGTCAGGCGAAAACCCCCAATTGGCCAATCCGGGAACCGAAATCTCGCAGAAACTCTCGCGCCAATAGCCGGTGAGTGGAAGCACCGAACATTCTCTCAGCCGTGATTGGGGAGAGACACGGTTGACATGGTTCGCGTCTTCTAGCCTCAGAGGCCTTACCCGGCGAGGAAAAGCTCCCAGGCCAAAAGCAGCGCCAGGCACGCCACATGGCGCAGGGATGTCCGCGGTGTCGCCGGCCACACGGTCGTGGAGTCCAGAACTGTGATGCATGTCTCGCCTTTCTCCAGTGGGTTTGCTGGCGCGCCCCATTGTACGAGCAACCATTTTCTTGGGATTTTTTCCTTTCCTTCTAACACCAGTGGATCGGCAGACGACATCCCTTTCTCCATCCTTCTGAAGCGGCGAGTCTTTCCCGTCCTGCTCAACCCATACTACAGCACACGGAACCCCAGACCAGCCCATCCGTCTTCTTCCCCGCGCGAGCCAATGGGTCGTGGAGAAAGTGGAGTTGCGTCGTCCTAGTGCCCGGGGACTCTTGTGTGGGTTAGGGTGCCAGGCAGGGCTGCCGGACGGGTTTCTTCTTCTTTTGCATTGAACAACTTAAGACACAAGTGGCCCATGAGGTCAACATCCTCTCCAGCTTCCACGCCACCTTCGAATGAATTTGAGCGAGCCAGTGAGAGGCCGCAAAACCTCCAACACCAACCCGGTCGCCTCCTGAAGGGAGCATCACCATCATCCCTTGGCAGCGGGCAGCAGCTTGGTTTACATTCCAGGAGGATTTAAGACGACCGGGTGTCCCAACTCAAACCACGATTTGATACAGTCAGCTCCAACAGCTTCATCGCGATCGAAGCAGAGCAAGCTCGAATACATCTAGCTTGCCATCGCATCCATATCAACCAGCTCGACTCTCCAGTAGATCGAGTCCGGACCTTCCTTCACTTCTACTTCGCCCAGCGCGAACATCTTTTCAACAAACTTGACACAATGGTCGGCTTCACCTCCTCCGCGCCCAAGGCCGTCGATGCCGAGCTCAAGCCCCCGGCCTCGATGGGCGGCGGCGCCAACATGGCCGGAGTAGCCTCCGAAGCCGCCGCGGCGACCGAGGCCGAGCACAACATGGGTCTTCTGCAGTCCATCAAGCTGTACCCCAAGGCCGTCGCGTGGTCCATCTTCTTCAGCACCTGCGTTGTCATGGAGGGCTTCGACAAGACCCTGCTCAACAACCTCTACGCCTATCCCGTCTTCCAGAAGAAGTTCGGCGAGCTCCAGCCCGACGGCACGTACCAGCTCACCTCGGCCTGGCAGTCCGGCCTCAGCAACGGCGCGCTGGTCGGCGAGATCTCGGGCCTGTTCATTAACGGTATCATTGCTGAGCGGTTCGGCTACCGCAAGACCATGATTGGTGGTCTGCTCGGCGTAACGGCGTTCGTCTTCATCATCTTCTTCGCGCAGTCGCTGCCTCAGCTTCTGGTGGGAGAGATTCTTATTGGTGTGCCGTGGGGTATTTTCCAGACTATCACCGTCACTTATGCTTCTGAAGTTTGCCCCACTCATCTGCGAGCTTACTTGGTATGTTTAATCTTCAGTTTGCGACGAAGGTTACTCAAGCTAATATCTCTCTAACCAGACTACCTACGTGAACCTCTGCTGGGTCATGGGCCAGCTGATCGCCAGTGGTGTTCTTCGTGCCATGGTCGAGCGAACCGACGAATGGGGCTACCGCATCCCTTTTGCGCTGCAATGGATGTGGCCCATTCCACTCATTACCGGCATCTTCTTCGCTCCCGAGTCGCCCTGGTGGCTCGTCCGCAAAGAGCGCCTCGAGGATGCCAAAGCAGCTCTCCTTCGCCTCACCTCCCGCAACTCGCAGCAAGACTTCAACCCCGACGAGACCATCTCCATGATGGTGCACACCAACGAGATGGAAAAGGCAGTTCAGGCCGGCACCACCTACGCTGACTGCTTCAAGGGCGTCGACCTCCGCCGTACCGAAATCGTCTGCGGTACCTGGACCGTCCAGACGCTGTGCGGCGCCACGTTCATGGGCTTCTCCACCTACTTCTTCCAGCAAGCCGGCATGGCCGTCGAGAACTCCTTCAGCATGTCCCTGGGCCAGTACGCCATCGGCGCCGTCGGCACGATCCTCTCGTGGGTCCTGATGAAGCACTTCGGCCGTCGCACACTCTACCTCGGCGGCCAGCTCGCCATGACCGTCATCCTCGCGACCATCGGCTTCGCCTCGCTCGCAGGGCGCTCCAACATCGGCGCACAGTGGGCCATCGGCAGCCTGCTGCTCGTGTACACCTTCTTCTACGACTGCACCGTTGGCCCCGTCTGTTACTCCCTGGTCGCAGAGCTGAGCTCCACGCGTCTCAAGACCAAGACGGTCGTTCTCGCGCGCAACCTCTACAACGTCACGGGCATCATCACCAACATCCTCACGCCCAACATGCTGAACCCCTCGGCGTGGAACTGGGGCGCCAAAAGCGGCTTCTTCTGGGCCGCCAGCTGCTTCCTGTGCTTCGTATGGTCGTACTTCCGCCTGCCCGAGCCGCGTGGCAGGACGTACGCCGAGCTGGATATCCTGTTTGAGCAGCGCGTGTCGGCGAGGAAGTTCAGCAAGACGCAGGTCAGCACGCTGCGAGGTCACGAAAGCGATGGGATTTCTGAGAAGGAGGCGGGCGTCACGGAGCTTGAGAAGAGGCCCTCTTCATGAGTGAGGCCGATGTGGGTTGGTTTTTGCTGGAGTTTTGCTCAGATATACCACTTGGGTTGCTTTTATTTTCAGGTTGGAAATGATACTGGCGTTTTTGTTAGATCAATTGGAACAATTGGAATATTTACCTTGCAAAAGAACGTTGACATACATCCTTGACAATATTTTTGTTCCTGCCGTGATGCATTCTCAGGGGCATCGCCCGCGCTTAGTAAGATACTCCCAAAGTGGATTCTCCAGCCTGACACCTGTGATTGGCCGGGGAAAGCGACCCCTGTATCCCGGAACATCTGGATCCCGAGGACCGGAAAAGCTTCGGTTTGCCGATGTTCACCCACGATCTCTCACTCTCACTCTCACTATCACCCACTCACCCACTCACCCACTCACCCACTCACACGCGCCGCCATTGCGGCTCTCTCCTCAGTCGACGGGCTCTCTCCCCTCACAACACCAGATGCGACGGGTCAATGTAGGCCACAACGTCTTCCGATGGCGTCGTCCGGCCAGAGGCTTCGCCTTTACGCCGGGTCGAAACAGGATTATTCATCCAGCGTTTGCTCACCGCCCTAAGGCATGGGCGGAGCCGAAGCGGGAGCCGCAGCGCGCCGCAACGCCGTTGCCCAAGGTCGAGCAGAAGGTGGCACCCGAGGCGCCTGAGAACAAGGAGCTCACGAAGGAACAACTTCTGCAGTTCGTGGCACACCAAGAAGCCCGAGAGCAAGAAGCCAAGCGAAGGCAGAGGGCTCGTAGAACCAAGGCCAAGGTGACTTGGGTGGCCGTCCGACGGAACGCTCCTGCCTGGGCCACGAGGCGCTTCGAGATCAGACAATGGGGAGCCGAGGTTTTCCGTGCTAAAATGATGGCCAGAGAAGAGGCACTGGCAATAGCCGCGCCGGATGTATGGAAGGAAGCCGCGGAAGCACGGCAGGAGATCTCCAAGCAAGACGTCCGGAAGGCCGCTAGGGAAGCGGCGAGGAAAGCGGCCAGGAAAGCCTCCAGTCGAGCGGGATACAAAGCCCGTCAGGACCGCAAGGAACGCAGGGCTCGCAATGAACATCGCAATGAACTCAGGGCACGCAGGAAACTCATTGCAGCCACAGGGGCGAGGCCACCAGTCAGCAGTCGGATCAGAGCAGGGCAGTTGAGGACGGCCCCCGAAATTATTCGTCGAAGGAATAGCATTAGGACCTGGAAAGACATCGTTGGTGCAGACATCGAAGCCGAGAACCCACGTGGGTCGTCGAAGCCATTCACTCGCCTCGAGGTCAGAAATATTCAGCCTTTCGACGGGTTCGTCACAAAAACCGACTATGAGGTCGTCAGCGACTGGAATACCCGCCGAAGACCCGGAGAGCCGTTGTTATTACGTGTACCAGGTAGTGATGTTGACCTCCGACCATCATGTCAATAGCTGACCAAGCATAGGTCGTGCGCCTCTGTTCAGTCCGCCGCCTACGCCGCCTACAGTGCCTCCTGATGGCCTGCAGGATCGGCAACCAAAAGTGGTAAAGAATAACAGCCTCTTGACGCAGATGCTTCTGGCTGCCCGTTACATGGCCCGCTACCAGGGAAAGCGCATATCGTTGGACGACGTGGACATAATAGCGACCAGGAGCGTCCTGGAACACCTTATTTTCTTTTGTACCAACGTCGAAACGAGACTCGTCCGCCTCAACCTGTACATGGTAGGCCGCTCACTGCACGTGATGCGACCTCCCACGGAGGGTACAGACAGCGGAGCTGTACCTATTGCCGGTTTTGGCAGGAACTACGAAAAGGCCGTGACGGTACTCCCGCCCAGCCTACAAGACTCCCCTGACCACTTGCGTAACATCAAGTACAAAATTGGCGACGTTACCTGCCTGGTTCAGACTCAGGTTGATGCTTATTGCGGCGAGGATGCGGGTTATCTGGGCAAGACGACCTACAAGAAGATCTATGATAATGGCGACATCGTTATTGAAACGGCGGGTGCGGGATACGCAGAACCGCCGCGAGACGGCATGGCCGAGATCAAGACTCAATCGCGTTTTAAACCAGAAGAAGAGCAGAAGCAGAGGCAGGCAGAGGACTTCCGACAGGCTTGGCTTGGCCGCGTGACACACATGATCACCGCCCGCCAAATCTACGGTGTATTCGATGAAGCAGAGGTGGTGCCAACCGCGGGTTATTGGCGAGATTGGGAGGACGCCAATCAACTGGCTCTCCGAAGAATGGTGACGTTGCTGAAAGAGATGCGAAGACGGGTTAAGAAAACCGGGGTTCGAAATTGTGTCGTCCTCCTGAGGCGTGGCCTTAATATGAACAACACCATACTGTTTTACGAAACGGTGGACCAGGAGCCGACCGCGCCAGATGAGCTGATCTCGGAGTTCTTCGGTGGAAAGAAACCCCCCCGAGCCACCCCTGAGGCCTGGAAAGAGAAGCAGCGGGCTCGCCGCCGACAGAGATCTACCGGGCTCAATAACGATAAGCGAACGTTGGCTTTGCAGAAGAAGCTGAAGATGATCCATCAAACGTTTCGGAAGTATGTCTCTAGCCCGAACGAAGTATTGGCTGCTCCCGCAGACCACAGGAAACCAGCTGTTGCCCAAACTCGCCAGTCTAAACCCACCACGGACACGTCAAAAACGGATGCGGACAAGAAGTCGGGGACTGTTGCGGGCAAGAAAGTGCCGCAGTCTCAACAGAACGGAAAGCCGGCCCCAAAGAAGACGAAATCGACGCCAGCCAACGGACCGGCCGGCGGGCAGATGAATGCGGTGACAACGACGTCCGGAAAGGCTAAAAGGCCATCCGTCCCGATTAAGGCGGATTGGGGGCAGCGCAACGTCGCCTTGGCTGAGAAGAAGACTCGACAGGCTGATGCGGCCAAGATGGCTAAGGCCAAGCCCGCAGCCCGGGCGTTCAAGCCGCAGGCACCGAGGCCGAAACCAGCGGCGGACGACGGCTGGGGAGCCGCTTTCGGCCCGGTCCCGGGGGCCGGCCGCAGACGCTGAAGCAAAGGCGGGCCGGTCCTGATGCCACGCCGTATCTCATCTGTATCTAAAGCTAAAGCTAAAGCATTGTAAAATACATCCTATCCATTGGAAGATAACCCTTGCCAAGCTGTGACACCACGTTTTGCAAGTTACTGCGAAGGAGCGGAGGATGTGGCTGAAGCCGACGTCTGCCTTCTTAGCCCCCAAGCGAAGGATCATCTGCCAAGGGTGCACAGAGGGGGCTGATAGCCGCTGCCTGGTGGGCGCCTCCGCAGTGATGCAGGGCTGAAATTGCTCAACGAGAGCGGGTCGGAGGCTCCCCTGAAAATGAAATGACATTTGCCGACAATACACTAAGAACAGCTGCTGCCTTCACAGCAAATTTTTGAAGCCCGTTGCCCGTGACTCATATGCGGCTAACCAAGAACTAAGATCACTGATGTTGCCTGCGAATAGCGCGAGCTAACGTTCAACAGCGCCCGATGGAGCTTCAGCTAGATTAAGCTTAAACAGGTTGAGGGTGTCATCCACAGCTGGTGGTGGTGTGGGCGCTTGTTCGGGGGCTCAGACGATTGGGTTGCTTGTTACTCACTCACTCAACTCGAACCAACCAACCAACCGTAGGACTCTTCTATTTTTGTCCGCCAAAAAAGTCCTGGTTTTGGAAGATCATGGGTATGAACCGGCGGCAATAGTCGCATCTTCATTGCCAACAGGACAACCTCTTTGTCCAGCAGGCAGGGTTCCTCTGGTCCAACACTACCCTGAACACGGAACCAACAGCTGTAATACTTGCTGCGATGCTCATCGTCTCACCAACCAACGACAACATGCATACCCAGCCTCGCACAGGTCGTAGCAAACATTTCACGCCCCTTACACCCGCCCGCCCATCCAGGCAGAAACAAACAAGAACGGCACTCGCCAAAAATACCCCAAGATCCCATATCCTGCGTGCCTACCTGAAGGCTAGCAAGCCTCCCCTGTCGTGAGACAGCGATCCCCTTCCTCCACCCCAAACTCGCAAAGCTCCGCCCCTACCCACCACGTCCAACACCAAACACCCCTCTTCCACCAAGAATTCCATCTCGCTTGGCCGCATTCCTGTATAAAGCCATTTCCCAACCCCATACCACCGCCGCCAGCTCGCTCTGCTTCGCGTCCTCCCCTCTCTCGCAGCAAAAAAACCCCTCCCGACGTCCTCGAAAATCACCGCGCAGACATGACCCAATACGCCGGCCAACCCGGCGCCGCCGCCCCGGCCGCCAGCAGCTCCTTCAAAGACCGCAACTGCCCCAACATGCGCGGCTGCTGGTCCTTCTCCTGGGAGGCCTACTCGCTCAAGACGTCCGACAAGCAGGCCCTGCTGCGCCGCATCTGCATGTACATCATCCTCGGCATCCGCACCGCGCTGTCCATCCTCAGCATCGTGCGCGACATCATCGCCGGCCGCGTCGTCAGCTGGATCATCGGCATCATCCTCGCCGTGCTGGGCTTCTTCTTCATCGCGTGGTGTCTGGCCGTCATCGGGCAGGCGGAGGGGCGGCGGAAGGTGTTTGGGATCATGCTGGTGAGTTATTTGGCCCCCCCCCCCCCCTCGCCCGGTTCTCTGTTTGGGCGGGTTTTTGCTTGGTCCGGCAGGGTGTGCCGGCTTGGCCCATGTTTGGGAATTTTGTGGCTGATTGCGATTTGTCGTACAGGGGCGCTTGTATTTCGATATTTTCCTGCTCGTCACCGCATTCATCCACGCCGCGCTTCTGGTCGGCAGCTTCTTCGGACTCGGCAGCGGGGGCGGGTATGCGACTTGGCTCATTATGTGGCTGCTGATTTTCGGCGTTGCCTGGATCTGCACCTGGCCTGCGGAGCCTGAGAGCTACGCCTGAGCGTATGGGACGAGGGTTTTTCGAACTTCGTCAGTTGTTTGGAAAATGAATTATCGGTTGCATTTGAGATGCTACGAGTTGGGATACGTGAGAGGCGTGCGACGGAAGTTTGTGAGTGGGTCGCAGCGACCATATACTTTGTGTGATGGTTTCGCCAGCGATGGACTTGGGATTTGAAGTTTGAGATACCCCTTTCGATGTGGATGTGGATGGATTCTTCAGAAATAGTTGCATTCTATGGAATCAATCTGCTGAATACGAAATTGTCTGCTACGTTTGCATCGACCCCTTTCACTTCCCGTGCAGTGAGTGCATATGAAGCATTAATGAAAATCTCGCCCAGCCTGGCATACACTGGTCTTCGGGTACCGTCCACACATGGATGGTAGGAAGCACTGTTCCGGAGGCTGCCCGACTTTACCTCTTTAACAGGTATAGACGACTTTTACACACCAAACAAAACAAATCCCATCCGAAGGCCTGGGTTCGGGGACGGGAAGCCGGCGCCGGCAGTCTACTAGCTCGTTCGGGGAAAACCCGCGTCGACCCGATTTCGCCAGCACCCGGGCGGGTCCGAGTCGGAGTGAGCTCCGGCGAACACCTGGAGGAGGTGGAGTAGCCTTCCCACTTGCCGGTGCTGCCGAGCAGGTGCCGAATGTCCTTGACTGCGTCACAAGTAATGCAGGACGTGTTTGGACGACTAAGATAATGTATTATCCAACTGGCATGGTGCTTTAGACACAGGTTCTCTAAAAGTAGTCGACGGTCGCCACCGGGGAAACCGCCAACTAGAGGCCAAGTAGCCGAAGATTATGATCTGGGAGTTAAGACTACGGCCAACCGCATTCAACGGGCTCCTCATAAGCCCCCTCGATTACCCAGCTCTGGCAACAAGATTGTTTTCAGTGCGATAATGCGTTGTTTGATCGGCGCTGTCGTGGAACTCCATTGGAGACGGCTGGGTGGCGAGCGAAGTCGGTGCCGACAGTCGCGGAATTGAAGGTCGGAGAAACACGAAATTGAAACTCAAACTACGGGTGGAGAGATTGGAAATTGCAATCCTACAATCATAATAACAACTTGCGACGACAAACAACGGACAATATGGTACAACCACGGCGACAGGCTGCATTTGGGGGTATAAACTCTTTCTAAATTCGCATTTCGGGAGTATCGCATGCAATCGTACAAACGAAGACCAATTTGTAACAAGACAGACCGACCGACCCAAAAAAAAGTACCCCACGAAAAGGGGGAAAAGGGAAAAAAAAGGGGACGAGATTCCAGAACGTGGGCTACAGTCGCGCTCTGTGCTTACGACTTGTAGCCCAGACGCTCCAGGAGAGACTGTCCCGCGGGCGCGCCGCCCTGTCCTCTCCTCAAGCCGGCGTCGACACCCTTCACGTAGTCGAGCACGCGCAGGTGCTCCTTCTTGAGCTCCTCGAAGTCGTGGGAGAGCTGCTCGTGCCAGGGGTACAGGACGAAGACCTGGAAGCCGAGCGCGGAGGAGGCGACGAGGAAGTTGGTGAGGGAGATAGCGCGGGTGATGAGGACCATTTTGACGGTTTTCTTATGTGTTCTTTATGTGTATTTCTTATGTGTATTGTTTATTGTGTATTTTTCGAGATCGTCGGATTCTAGGAAGAAACAGGAGTCAGCGCCGGAAAAGATCGCGGGGCATCTTGGCCCGAACGGAAAGCCGAATGCGAGAATGCGCCGTGCCGGAAACTCACCTTTGACGTGGAATGTATTTGGTGTTCTGGAACCTGGTCTATACGCAGTCGGTCTGTCACAGAAGGAAATGTAGAAAGAAAAGACGGTAGAGAGGGAAAGGTGAGGTGTGTAGGAGGGAAAGAGGAAGAAAGGGAAAATTACGGGTTGGAGAGAGGGAAGGAGGATTACGACAAGGAAAGGCGTAGAAATTATTCACGAAGAGGGAACCCGGGGATGATACCTGAAAGACCTATTTAGGAAGTCCCCCAGCCGATTACCTCACCGACAGCGGCCCGGCGGCAAAGTGGGACCCCGAAGACTTTCGAGGCCGCTCGGACTTGGGATACAGGTGTCTCTGTCTCCTGTTGTACAAAGGCAATGGAGGGCCCAGCCATACAACTGTTCGGATACGACGACTTGCGTGGGGTGCAGAGGTGCCCGAATTCCTGCCAATTTTCGTCTTGTACTCTACCTCGGGCAGCGCGCGGGGTGAGGTGACCCGGCCAGAGCGAGCTGTCACCTGTCTGCAGCAGAGGCTCGGCAACCCACGTTGTTTTGCTGCGCGCTGCCGTAAACAGAGCGAGAGTCAAGAGGGTGCAGTAGGTCCTTTGGGCGTTGCTGGCGCAGCAAATAGGAAGCGGGCGTTGGAGGGAGAGCCCCCGAGAAAGGAGGGATGATTCAAGGCCGATGGGGAACAGTGGCGTGACTTTTATGGGGAACCCTTTGGACGGCCCTTCGACCACCACCCCTGGCGCCAACGGCATCGCGGGAGCTGAGGAGAGCACACGACTAAGGGATTAGAGCTAGAGAATGTCCCGGGGTGGAGCTGGACGGCCGGGGATGGGGTGAAGCAACGGACGACGCCGGTCTTCTTATTCCTCGACTTGATCATGTTAAAAAGGATGGCCTCGTGATTCCTCTCTCCATTGTCGGATTACTTTAGCTTACATCTCGCTGCCTTGTGGTCGTCGTCGTGTCTCTGGGCAAGGTTACATTGGGTTTGCGCCTGAGGGGGCCATAGAATGGGGCAGAGGAGAGAGCGTGTGCTCTACATGCAGGGGAGGAATGACGCATGTGACAGAAGACAAACACTCCCACTCGCGGCGAAGGAAAATTTTGCCGCATAGGCCACCCCCGTGAGCAATCTCACTACTAATATTTGGCAAATTCTGTGTAGATGATTGATGTAGTGTCTGGGTTTGATAACGCCGAATGAGCCTGTATCCGAATTGTGCAGGGCCGTGAGGACACGATGACGGTGCCCAGAGGTTTTCCCAGCAGCTGTCCCCGCGTGTTATTCTACTTACCCGGTTGCCCGCGGAAAGTTCAGTGGTCCGCTGTAACATCCCAAGTTAAAACATCCTTTTCCATTTCGCATACTTGATGATTATTCGGGGACCAAGAGCTGGAGTAAACCTGACCAGGAACTGGTCCGGCACTTTTGGTCCATGGCCGCCTCTGCCCCGCCTCCCAATCGCCCGGTTCGACACCGGTAGCGGCAGCTAGAGCGGGTCTTGTCAATCGGCTCTGCCACGTGTTGATGGAGCATCGCTGCTCCGAAAGCTGCCGATTGATCGGACCCGCCTTCCGACAATTGTCTTGTTTTCTCACGCCGTCCATGTTCGCCGTCTCATGCAACCGTAAAGTTTGTCACGTTGTGCCACTGAACATCTCATGACGCTGGCAGATTCAATTTGGTATCCTGTTTAAACTGCGTATTGACTTTGTCGTTCAACACTGTGCCTAAAGGATCGCAGGCTTTCGGTACGGCTCCCCGACCGGAGATGTTTCGGGTTTGGCCGGTTCAGCCGGTTTCCATAGCCAGCACAATGAACCACCGGATCCATTCGCTTAAGGTCGCAGTCCGTCTGCGACGTTCTCATTCTGCGAGTCATTGTCGTCGACAGTCTCACCGTCAAGCTCATATAGATGAGGATTTCGCTTTCTAGACGAAAGCCAGTCAATATTCAGAGTTCTCGACAACCTAAATCGATCAACTTACAGGTCTCTTTTGTACAAATAATCTAGCAGGTACATTCCGATGACCGCAAGACCACCGAAAAGAATGAGGATCTGATATCCGTATTTGTACTTTGGCTCATCATATGTTGGGAATAACACCACTGGGTTCCGAAATTAGCATGTGCTTTGACACGAAAGCATACGAAAGGGACAGCTTACCAGGCATCCAGGCGCTGAAGGTGTACGTAAAGATGTTTCCTGTGGCAACAAGAAGTTGTCGCAGGTTAGCGTTCCACTGCGTGATCTCATGCCCATAGCTGATCACCACCGGCTGTGCTGCTCCGCCCGTGTAACTCAGGTAAAAGGCCGCAAGAAGTGCTGCTTTGGGCACGTTCCATATCGACAATATGATGTTTGACACCAAGACGAGCACTTGCACGAAGACTACGGTTAGGACGCGATTGCCTGTCGCATCCGAGAGCCATCCTACCGAAAAGGCCGCTACGATCTGGATCGCGTTTCCTGTAGTACCCAGTCAGATACACGATCTCCAGAAGACAACGTTCCAGGGGCTGTGATGGGCTACTTCTCTATATTGCTTACCAATTGTCGGGAGAACGTTCGTCTGGACAACCGAGTAGCCCTCAGACTTCAGATAGAGATTGAAGTATCCAGTACCAGACCCAGCTTCAGCAACCATGAGATAGGGCAGGATAAAAGCCCAAAGCTGCCAAGATGTATAGATGTCTTTGACGGCCTTGAATGTGAGTTTCGATGGCGGCTTGCGACCCATCTTCTTGGTTCTTTCCAGTCCATACTCGCGGTCCTGCCACCGCAGTGTCAGCAGAGGACGGTCACGGTTTGCAATGAAAGACTCACCTCTTTCTTCAGATAGAATGCTCGCGTATTGTGCGGCAAGTCTGGGAGGGCGAAGAATCCGTACAGGGCAATCGGTATCGAGATGACCCCTTCCGTCTGTTAGTAAAAGGTTCCAACCATTCAAGCGACACTCTCACCATCCATGATGAATAGCCAGCGCCAACCCGACAGGCCTGCAGCCCCGTTCATGCCAGTGTACAACCCAGCCTGCAAGTACCCGCTGAACATTCCAGCGATCGCAGCCGTCTGCTCAAAAAGGGCCATGCGCTTCGCGAGCTGGGTCTTTCCGTACCAACTCCCCAAGATACTCGCAAAACCTGGGAAGCTGCACGATTCGAGAAGCCCAATGCAGAAACGCAATGCGTACAGCTAAGAGAGCGGTCAGGATACAAACCATAGAGGAAGGGTAGATGACGTACAGTTTCGACGTTTTTAGCACTAGCCATGACCATTGTCAAGGCCGACCACGCCAGCTCGCAGGCGGGAATCCATATCGACGGGCGCACCCACTTCAACTGGATCATCTGCGCGGGTATAGTACCCAGGATGATGCCGATATTGAAATATGTGTTGAGGAAATTTCTCTCATTTCCATACAGACCCATCTCTTCTTGCATGCCGCTTACGAATGCATTGCTGTAGTTCGTCTGGTCTAGGTACTTGATGAAATATCCCAGCAAAACATACGAACTCGTTACGTCAGTCGTATTTCTTCCGGTTGGCATTGAGAACGGCTCACAATAGGAAGCTGTCGAGCTTTTGAATGTACTTCCTCTCCCGGGGGTCATCACCCCAGATCTTTCGCGCAACATTTGAGAATATTCCGCGGGACGGTTGGCGGCTCTGAGCGTCCTCCTGTGCATCTGCCGATACCACTGTGTCTTGCTTGCCGTCGCTAGACATTGCTTCGCCTGAAAAGGTTTGATACTGGTACGATGGAGGCGCCATGCTGACTGGATGTTCAAAGTCGGCATTTCATATATGCGTTCACGGGGCAAGGCCGATGGCCGACATACAAAAGGGAAAGACTGCATCTCGATAGCACGCCACTTTTGGTTTCTATGGTGAGTTGGATGGCAGCGGGATAAGAGTACACAATTATTCCCTACGATCACGACGCTACCGTGGGGGTCACGCTGCAGGCGGGACCTGCGACCGACAGCCCGGGGGAAGGCCGGCAATCGACCGAGCGAGGCCCTATTTGTAAGAACCCTCGGGAATAATCATGAAAACAAGATAACATTAGATCTATCGTGTAGAATATCTTTGTCGGAGGTTTTTCATGCGCGCGGCCTGTGGAGAATGATAAGATCAGTGTGGGAGATGGGATCTTTGGCCAATGTGAGAGTTGCAGAGGGCATGACGAATCTGCGAGGATGATGTCGCGACAAGCGACACGAGATGGCGTGCTTGCAACGTTTCCTCGGAGAACCTCACCCGCTCGCGTTTTTAAGACGGTTTGCCGATATTGAGGAGTGATTTCTCCAGTAAATTTCCATTATATCGATTTTGACCATGGCAACGCAAGTGCAGACTGCGACTGAACAACTTCGGAAACTGCAATTACGTGCAGAAACCTCGATCGACTACGAGAAGGAGAAGGTATGCAGAAAGATTAATGCTATCGTCTTCGAATTGTTTACTGACACTATCGACAGTACAAATATGAAAGCTACCTCCCCCATTTTACACCCGGCACTCAACCGCCTCTTGAGGAGTTTGAACACGTTGATGTCGGGCTGAGAGCAGATCCTGAGAAGAAGAGCCTTCTCTCGGCCCACGGCGTAACACATGAAGAGATTACCCCGGCAATTGGGACCGAGATTCATGGGATTCAGCTCAGTCAATTGAACCCCGCCCAACTAGATGAACTCGCCCTCCTCGCCGCCGAGCGGGGTGTCGTTCTCTTCCGGGACCAAGACTTTGCCGACATTGGACCCGATAGGCAGAGACAGTACGGACAGCACTTTGGCCCTCTTCATGTTCACCAGATGGGTGGTCAAATCAAGGATTACCCCGAGCTTCTCCCCGTGTACCGGGACTTTACGTGAGTCAGTCACGATTCCCCAATTACAGACACCCCGCTGAGGAGCGTCGAACACAGTGCAGGTGCAGTAGACAACGAGATTAAAGACAATGTTACAAGTGTAAAGTGGCACAGTGACATGAGCTATGAGATGTAAGTCACGACCATGTAGAGACACAAGTCTGGTACTGATGGTTTCAAGCAACGGCATGGGCACAACAACGTTCCTTCCGCTGAGCACCCCGCGATCTGGAGGTGACACTCTGTACCTCTCGACCACAGCAGCCTACTACGCGTTGTCAGACACCTATCGCACACTGCTGCACGGCTTGAAAGCCGTTCACTCCGGTTTCTCGCAAGCGTCCGTGCATGATCATCGAGACCGCTACATCAGAGAGCCAATCGAGACAGTCCACCCCGTTGTGCGAACACATCCCGTCACAAAACAGCTTTCTCTATATGTCAACAGATTGTACACCAAGAGGATTGTTGGGATGAAGCAAGAAGAGAGCACTTCCTTGCTGAACTTCTTGTTTGATCACATTGAGAGAGGGCAGGACTGGCACTTGAGGGTGCACTGGAAGCCCGGAACGGTCGTGGTTTACGACAACAGAAACACCCAGCACTCTGCACTCAGAGACTTCCGGGTGGAGGAGGGCACGACGAAGCGGCATATGCTGAGAATCACACCTCAGGCTGAGCGACCGTACTTTGCAGAGCCTTAGGTCCTGCTACAGCTCGTAGTGGTTGTTTGTAGTCTACGATAGTCACTATTTTTGGCCACATTTCCTGAACCGGTATGCAGATAGTACATGTGATAGGCAGAATTCCCAGCAAGATGACAGGGAATAGCGAACAACAAGAAAGCAGAATTTTCAACCTACCCCTCTTCAACCATGGGTGAAAGTGACTCCAGATAGGTGAAACTTAATTGGAGGACATTGCTTAGAATCTGATGGAAACCAAGAAGCTGGTAACTGTACCGCTTGACCGCACGTTTAGCCTTTTTGATGGATTACATGGGACGTGTTTGAACTCGTCGAAACTTTCACGGAAGGATGGAAACGCATGGATAGTAGACATGGTCCCATCATAGACGTCATGCTCAGTTACGGGACGGACCATCAGATGAAGGGACTCATCTGGGTTATAGTAGATCGTTCACCACGGCAAAGTTTTGTAACACAAAGGATGACTAGTAGAAGACGGCGTTCAATTAGATTATGGACACCTTAGGCTGGTAGGTATCAAACCCCCGCAACGGATCCAGCAGCCCAGCTCGATGTTCACCGCGCACCCGGCATTCTCATTTTCATCCATCAAATGCTTCTAGAAGCGCAGACTTTGTACGTTGTTCAACAGGAAATTGAAGCTGTCTTGACGGAAGTCATCATCGATCAAGTCAGCGTTGTTCGCCATCACATGCAACAACTTTCCACCATCCTTCCACTTTGGCCAGTCAATGAGCTTGACACTCGCCACTCCAGTGCCGCCTTTGGAGTCGTTCGGATCCTGATTATAGGCAAAGTTGAAATAATATGCTCGTGTAGCTGAGGCGGCGTAATTTGGCTTGATGCCGTAGAACGTCTGAAGGAGGTCCGACCCGTGGAAGGTGCCCAGAACTGGCGTACCGTAGTCATAACTGGAGATATAGCTCCAATTCGGGATATCGGGTTGCACAGTTGTGGAAATGTTGAGCACTGCTCTTCGCGTGAGAGTGAAGACGGAGTCTCCAAGAATAGCCGCCATGCGCTTGAATTGTGGGTAGATATTATTGAAGCCAGCAGTACGGAAGGGAGATCCTGCAGAAGGACGATTCTTGTAAGTGGCGACGAGACCTTTTACTTGTTGAGGTGATGCATTATTGAAGAACAGAGTTTGGAAGTATTCTTCCACCTCCGAAGTTGTGGAGATGTTCGGCGTGAAGAGGGCGAAAAGAGTGCCTTCATCTTCTTGATCTCCAATGATGAACGGCACTTTGGGGAGTTTGCCTGAGGTTGCAAAAAGCTCAGGACTGGAAACGATACTTTTGCCGTCGGGTCTCGGGAGATATGAAAGTGCAATCGAGCTGTAGCTCAAGAGGCCGGGAACCGAGTTTGCCGCTTTTCTCATATCCTGTGGCGTTCGTTATCAGATAATGCACGTACGAAAAGGCCGAAGGGTTGGCTTACATCATAAGGGAGATCTCGTAGACATTTGAGGCGATCCGCTGCCGTGTCGCAGCCGGCCGTAGACACAACCTGGTCATAGATCTTCTGTGCCTTGGGCGAATCCATCGGGTCTGTAGGTACAGCTGAGCCGGAGTTCATGATTGCACCGCGGAAGAGCGCCTTTCCGTTGCGGGTGATATTGCCGTTATTCAGAGTAAGCTGACTGAAAACCGAAATAGCCCCGGCCGATTCTCCCCAGATGGTGACTTTGTCTGGGTCTCCGCTATGAAATTGGTTGTTAGTATTTCTCAATAGCTTATGGGAGGCTAAGACTGCTTACCCAAAGCTGGCGATGTTGTCTTGGACCCACTCGAGACCCATTCTTTGGTCAAGCAGCCCAGCATTGGAGCTTCCCTCCATCATGAGGTCCTTTCCAGGCATGAAACCGAACGCTCCAACTCTGTAGTTGACAGCTACGAAGACGATTGGCTTCCCTGTAGACATGGATTCTGCTACGAGACCGGCCCCATTGTACATTGATGTGCTCCCCAGCTCGAAGCCTCCTCCGAAGATCCAGAACATCACCGGGAGCTTATCCTTCTCCGTTGTCCCAGCTGGCCGTTGCACATTGATCGTGAGACAATCTTCTTGTCCAACGGCGAGGTTCTTGATGATGGGTAAGTTCAGCACCTTATCGAGAACATCTGGCGGGATAAGAGGTGAGCCGAAGTTGGTGTTCAGGGCGAACTGCGGGCAAGATTCGGGCTGTTCTGTGGTAGCGTCGACGTTGCCCAAGGCTTCGGTGATGCGGACGGGAGGCTTGAACCGCAACTCCCCAATGGGAGGTTTTGCGACGGGAATTCCATTGAATGATTCGACCTCGCCGGCTTTTGCTCCGAGGAATCCTTTTGATGTGCCTTTGATGTTGGCTTGTGGCGTTTTGATCGTGACTTGTGGAGTCCCTCCTTTTGCCTGCGGCGCTGCTTGCGGCGCTGCCCAAGCCAAGGAGATTAGAGAGACGAAGGCCAGCGTCCTGGGAAACATCATTAAGAAGCGATGGTGAAGAAGAAAGAATTTGGCGAACACCGGAGAAGTCTGTTCTCGCGACCTCTTTCAGGAGTTGTGGTCAGACCTAGGGGTTGAGAAGGGTCCGGGCCACGACACCTGCATATATCAACGTTAGAGCCATGCACCGCCATGTCGTCTTCGGCAATCATGGAAAGAACGCAATGATATCATATGACAGAAACCCAGAGATCTCAATCGCCTACGCTTGAGTTTGCCCAGGTAGCTTAATGTCGGATGAACCAGGTAGCGTGCGACGGGAGATGGCGGTGACTTCGGAAACTGCTGGGGAAGTCTTCGCATCGCATGGCCGAAAAGAGAAGTGTTCCTAATTTTTGACACCCGTCAAGGTCGTGGGCGCTAATGAAAGCCGTTCTACAAGTTCCACGGGGAGGGGTTCTAGAGCTATCCCATGTGTCCCGACCGTGCCGTGGTGTTGGCCCGACCGAAATCCTTCCGTCCCTCGGCAACCAGTGCGCAATATGATGGGCCGGCAGGTGTCATGCGCCCGCGCATTCAGATGGAGGGCGGGAAAGGGTAACGAAAAGAGCAACTTTGTCAATGCTTTCGCCGAATACGGAATGTGGCCCAGGGAAGGACGCGGGGTCCAAGAGAGAGGATGGAATCGGGGAATCAGTCCATGAATCGGCCAACATCGACGTCAGGCCGTGATGGCTGTGAAGTTGCTGTCCATTACATACGGAAATGAAGCCTGTTCTGTGACGGACAATGTTGCGAGGCAGACTGGGAGATCAGACGAAAAACGCCTCATCCAATCCGAGGACCAATTCTCAACCCTCCTATTTCGTAATCGGCTTGGTGAACATGGTAGGATCCCAGAGGGAAGGATGCAGAAGCTTGGATGCATTTCTAAAGCTTCAGCCAGGTCAGGGTTCGAGTCAAATTACGCAACATTCAGGAAGATTCTTGTCGACTCCGATTGCTTCCCTGTGCTACACGAACGGTGCGGCTCGTGAGAACGCGTTGAATAGATCCGATTGGAGGAATTTGCTTCTTACTGCTAGCAAGACCCTGCTTCGCTTAGACTTCATTACATGTGACCAGCAATGGCCTTGGGCTGGTACAGTTCCTCTAGATATTTTTCTTCCTCTTCGGTAAGAACCTTCCCGTCCGCCGTAATGGCCTGGTCGATTCTCTCGACGCTGCTGAAGCCAATGATGGGGCTGGTAACCCGCTTGTTGATCCATGCTAGAGCCACGTGCGCCATGGGCCACTGGCGCTTCTCCGAGACCTCAATAACTCTCTTGATGATTGTGAGATCCGGTTCGACCGTCCCGTGGGATCCGGGCTGTCCCTCCTTCTCGCCCTTGCTTCGCGAGGTGGAGCCGAAGTCTGCGGGAGGTCTCGCGAGATGACCGCGGCCTGGTGTCAAGTATGGTTAGCCATGCCTCGTATGCTTCGTTTACTGCCCGAGGTTCACTTACATAGCGGAGCCCACGGAATAAGTCCTACGCCGGTATCGTCACAGAATCGGTTCATCTCCCGCTCTTCCTCGCGGTACAGAAGATTGTAGTGGTTCTGCATTGAGACAAACTTGGTCCAGTTGTTCTTTTCCGCGACGAACTGCATCTGGGCGAATTGGGTTCCCCACATGCTGCTTGCACCGATGTATCGAACCTTTCCAGACTGAACCAAGTCATGCAAAGCCTTCATTGTTTCCTCGACGGGTGTCCGAGGGTCGAATCGGTGAATTTGCAACAGATCGATGTACGGAGTATCAAGCCGCTTGAGCGAGGCTTCGACTTGGTTGAAGATGGCACCTCGGGAGAGACCAAACTGGTTCTGGTAATCCTTCACCTTATTGAACTCATCGCGGAAGTTGAATTGCCGAGCCTCTGATCATTCAATTAGAAATCTGTCTCGAATCGCGATCTCGAATGACGTACCAGGTTCCTCGCCGACCGCAAAGAAACACTTTGTCAGAATAACGACCTTCTCCCGGGGGATGTTGTACTTCTTGAGCGCCTTGCCAATGGTGACCTCGGAAGCACCGTTGGAGTACACGTTGGCTGTATCCCAAGTGTTGAGGCCTCGATCGTAGGCAGCCTTGAGCAGCGGGAGCGCCTGAAAGCTCCTGTTAGTACAACCTGACCACGCAATTGGTTTTGCATCGCACGCACGTCGTCCTCGCCCAGAGCCCACGGAATCGTACGCGGGTCGCCAAAGCTCATGCAGCCAAAGATGGGAACTGAAACACGAAGTCCGGACTTTCCGAGTTGGCGGTACTCGACTTTAGTGCTCTCGAGCGACTCCTTCAAACGCGCGGGAAGCTGCTTGTTGGCCATGATTGCTGTATCTCTTGTATCTCAAAGGTCAGGATCTGCGTAATGTAGCGTTCGGTTACTGATACCAGTCAGCATTTAATCTTATCGGAGGAGCAGATCTGCCGAGCGGGGAGACGTCGAACATATATCTTGTCCATCCCATTATCAACGTCATTAGAGCCCGATCGCGCCATCAAGAGGGGTCACAGCGCGGGTAGTGGACGGCACCGAAATGGCGAACAGCTACCCCGCATTGCGCTGATCAGTGTCTCTCTGCCCCTCAAATGTGGGAATTTGCTAGCTGTTGATGCGTATCGCTGACATCAAATCGCATTATTGATCGGAGTTAGCGCCGATTGACCTGTAACTGCCACTGTCATGATGCGAGTTGAGAATTACCTTGATAGATGATTGGTAATGGCTTCAAGGAGACTGGGTTCGTTATGGAGATTGGAGCTATTAAGTCCGACCATGCGTCTTTCGGATTCACCGGTAGTTGAAGTGACTTTCCTCAATGTTTCAAAGCGGCCAATTCACAAGCGCTCGATTTCCCGTCTGATAACACGCATTTCAGATGTGTATCAAGAATCCGGCACGGAATTTCTCATGCCTCCAATATACCTAGCAAAGTAACCAAATGAATAAAGGACTGGGAATATTCTACCTATTGAGTGGGATTAGAATGTGCCTTAAACACTATTTAACTGAAGCATTCGTCAAAGGTGCCAACAAAAGGGCCTGCTCCACTGGGATCGTTGTTGGGTTCGCAAGCACCTCGGGCACTACAAGTGCCTCTTCCGTTATTACACGCGGCGCCAGCGTTGACCTTCGCGTTTTGGTTACCCCCGCCGAGGATGAAGTCGTCAACTTGAGATCGTCCGCCGCCGGTTAGACATTCCTTGAAAGTCCCCACGAAAGGTCCAGCGCCGCTTGGGTCGTTATTTGGCTCGCATCGCCCGCCCTTGCAAAAGCCACGGCCATTATTACAACTTTCTGCCTGATGATTAGCTCATGAAACAATATCGCTCCTGTCGAAAAGAAATCTTACGAGCAAAGACAGGGCTCATCACCAGAGCCAACAAGGCGGTTGCTGAGGTGAATCTCATTTTGACCAAGAGAGAGCTCAGTGAACGGCAACTACCGACACAGAATTATTGGAGTCAGAAAGTATGATGAGGTACAAGAGGAAAGGCTATGTTCGACTGAAGACCAGCTTCTGCTTGGCGATGAAAGAGATGGGTTGCTGAAGATTACGAGGGCACATTCATAGAGTGTTCGAGAGAGGCTGTGACTTATTTAATTGGACTTGAAAGCTGGAAATCCATGAAAAGCTACCCTGTGACCGCTAGTCACAGAAAAAGATCACATCCAAACACATAACGCCCAGATAATGGCTGATCCGACGGCATGTTTAAGGTTTGCTGGGATATTCAGGACTGTCATTGAAATTTGTTGCGCTGTCAAAAGTCTCACCACGCTGATTTGAGACCCTTAGACGTGAGTGGGAACGGCGTAGTCCGGGGTTTTCCACGCGACGTCAATCCTCAGTCTCATAGGCTTAAGACGCCATGCTATGATCCGACGGAAGCTGCAGTGTTTGAATGGTCATTGGCTGGTTCGATTTAAACTTGAATGAAAGCTCGCGTGGTTCAATTAGCGCCGTGTCTATTATCATGGATTGGCCGTTTCAGCGATCAGGGGCTGCGACTGCTTCAGAACTGCAACACACGGATAGCTCCGCGGTGGAGATGCTTAACAGCGATGATCACCTTGTTGTACCATGTGAGAATCAAATCGTAACATAATCAACTCTAGGGCATTCACTGGCGCTGCTCTAACTGGGCTGAGTCTAAAAGCATAGAACGTGAGAATTACCACCAAAGCCGGATCTCTACGTAACTCGAGAATACTTGTGTCAGATAATTAGCCAGCAACTTTCTGTAAAGAGAGCGCTCGCCATGGGGATTCTGCGATAATGATTTTATAATAACGGCGATGTGAGCAACAGCAATGGCGACAGGGGCTGTCTCATGGATATTATCTTCTTTTCCCTCTTTTGAGCAATACCCAATCAGCACAGGTGATAGCTGATGTAGGTAGTTTCCCATCAACTTGGTTGAAAGTATCTGCCCGGGTAAGAAGACATCTTTGTGGATTCTACCAGAGTATTTGTTGATTGAAATTGGCACTATTGCCGGTCAAGGGAATGCGGCGGAAGAATTCACGCTGCCCTTATCTCAATTCGAATTTGGCCGCAGAGAAATGTGGAATGCACTGCTTAAATACCTAATCAAAAAGAAACGCTGACATGCGTTGCTTTATATCCTCATCTTTCCAGTCAATCAAAGTTCGTTCCTTCGATTCTGCCATCTTGATTTGTACCAACGGCTCCATTGCTGCCCGTTCCTCGTCCGTCAGAAGATGTAACCTCGTCTCCCAGAGTTTCTCATGCGGGACTTCATGGTCCCTGGCACCGAAGAATAACTCATCTAGATACTTCCAGTAGATGCTGTCAAAAGCCCAGCTGTTTCTAGCGGCATAGTTCAACCAAAATCGGCCCGTCTTCCAGCTATCCCGCATGTAAGTCGAAAGGTGAAAGGAACCTGGGCCCATCTCACCCTCCACATCTTCCAATGCTGATAACCATATTCCTAACCGTGTCTCATAAATGTGCGCCCATTCTTCAATGCCGTCTTTCCATTCCTAGGCCACTCGAGCAATAACCACCAAGGACAATCCAAGACGAAGTGAGTTGGCGCGGCATATGTAAACTCCCAGTCAATTACACCATGAACCATTTCGCTTTCATTCATCAGGACAGTCGATGGCCGGAAATGATCATTCCAAAGGCGGAAAGAGCCTGACCGAGGGGGCATCGCGAACCTCGATTGATCGGCGACAGAACGGGCTGACCAGTCATCCTCAGCAAACCCGAAGTTGGAAAGTTGGCCTTGCTTGGCTTGTCTGCGGAATAATTGTCGCGCAACGTATTTGCAACGGCAGTCATCTTCCGACGACACAATGTCATTGTGCTGAAATAGAAGTGTCGCGATGTGCATGTCAGCCAAAGCCACGTACCAATCATCAACTGATTGGTACGTGGAACCTGGAGATGGCAGCACTGATTCGGGAACGTTAGAGAGCTGCACCATACTGGACATATTGAGAGTGATGGGCCGCGCTAATACAGCACATGATCCAGGTGTCGTGCCGACCAGAGAGCCGAGAAGAGGAAATGCGGGCTGTGCGATCTGGAGCACACAACGGGCCATATCCAGATAAAGCATTTTGAGTCTTTCTTCTGAGATTTCAGAAGATAAGATCGGCATCTCGCTTTCATCTGGTCGTTGGGCCCACATTAACTCACACATACTCGCCCTGGCACCGCAATCCTGGATGATACTAAACGCCCCTACCTCAGGGTCCATTCCATAATGATAGACTCTGGGAACAGATAACTGAGACTGCCTCGAGAGACACTCGGTCGTAGCAGCTTCCAAGAAGAGCTTTTCTGCGGCGAAAGTCGTTTGATCCGTGAGAGGTAAACGCACCACAACCCTGAGAGGAGAGCCCCCGAATCGAATTGGGTATGAGACATGTGAGCCGCCGACGTATATTGGAAAGACTATCATTGCGCACTCTTCGAAGACACGCTCGACGAAAGCTGTGATTTGGCGATATCGGGACTGCGAACTAGCTTCTCTCACCGCTTCGTCCCAACCGTCGTCCTTCCGGTCCCATGCATCGTTGTCGGAGTTTTGCTGAGCACGCATTTTCGCGTTGTGCACTGTCAGAAAGAATTCGCTCAGAGTTGATATGTCGTCCTGCTGGGGGGCGGGGGACGTGGGGAGGGGAGGGCTTGAACAAACAAAAAAATATCAGAGGCAGAGAAACTATGCAAACCAGGTAAAGCCTTTTATTTGCTCACCAGAAACTGGTAAAATGCGGTGACCAGCTGACCTACACTTGTCATCCACCTGCTGCGGTGAGGCACAGTCCTTAGCGACAACCATTTGACAGCCCCCACCCATCGGCACCCTTATGTAAGGCTTGGTGGGTTAAATAGACTATTCATCCGTTCCAACCAATACCGCAGCTGTAGCTTCATTCATTGGGGCCTGCCACGTTGTTCAGCAATGAATTGGGAGTTTTTGGGGGGGAGGAAACAAGAGCGAAGCAAGATGGGGAAAACGCCCGCTTTTTCATCAGCATAACCCTGAACACTAGCTTTCACTATCTCCAGCCTGGTCTGAATCACCGCAGCCGTAATAGGGTGGAGGAGAAAGCAAAAGGAAACCCTTCTGAAAACCATCACCTCCAACGAGACATCAAAGCGGTTTGCATAGGTAAAACTCGATTATGTCGGAGATCGGCCAAGGGAAACCATAATTGATGTGCACTTTTGTTTTGGTAAACACCCATTTCAGAACATGAATCCCTTCGGTTCTTCGTATTTTCCACCGAAAACAGTGGTCAGAAAGTGAAAGACATGTCTGAAATTGTAGAATGAGAATACAAGTTTGAGCCATCAATTGGACGGAAGCTTACTCGAGGCACATTCAATTTCTAAGAAGTGTGTTCATGAACAAACCATCTTTCATAAGATGCCTATACCGAGATGGCCGTTTCGTGAAGAAGCAAGGACACGATATAATTCTGCGAATAGATCGGCCTTTTGATGCTTCAATTCACAACAGTCTCAAATCAAGCGTATATTGCTTTTCAAGACGATCCATACAACATATTATCATACGTTGAATTCAACGCTTTCTTCAAGTGAGATCCTCTCTTCATGCTCTGATAGGCGAATAGTCCAAATTTGCTAAAGTTTATAGTATGTCATCAAGCAAGGGTGATAAGCAGCATAGGAAGACCAATTCGGACGACAATTTCGAACACCAAACTGTCTTGTATGACAAGTCCATGAGAAAGGGTGAAATGCACCGTGACAAAAAGCAAGATAAAGACAAAAAAAGACAGGATGATAATTTAGTCAAGTCGAAAGAAATAATGATGAACAC